CCCTTTTCTCTTAATGCTAATAGAAGCCAAAGCCAGATGAGGTCATGTATCCCTGCAGTATTTGGGGCCCAACATGCGATGGCCTCGACCGCATTGTTGAGCAGTGTAACCTGCCAGACATGCAGGTGGGCGACTGGCTGGTTTTTGAGAATATGGGTGCCTACACCGTGGCTGCCTCCTCCACCTTCAATGGCTTCCAAAGACCAGACATTCACTATGTCATGTCCCGCCCTGCCTGGTGAGTGAACATAACAGGACTTGAAAGTACTGGTTAATAGATCTATTAGGAAAATCCTAATTTAAGGCCACTAGTGAATATAACTTATATCTACTTTTTTTATTTTTTCAGGCAACATGTGCAGCAGATCTGTTCTCAGGGCATGCCAGCTCCTGCGGAGGAGTCTTGCCTGTTTGAAGTGCCAGCCTGCTGTGGCCGGGAGAGCAGCATGGACATGGCCACTAAGCCATGCCAGGCCCATGTGGTGTAAACATACTGCACAATTCAGCAATGTTTTTCAGATCTTGCATCTTTTGTTAATTATTGGAGAAAGTTCTCTGTTTTAGTTTTCTTTCCTCCACATGTACGTGAAATTTTCAAGGCCAGTTACTTGACGGGAGAATGAGAGGGACATGTTGTTGCACACATTTCTGTGTTCTGTATGGAAGCTGGGGATCAACCCTCAACGAAATGAGGCTGAATCACACTCTGAGTGTCTCTATGGGTTCCAAGCAGAGTGTTACAGGGCAACTGAATTTGTTTCTGCATTTTCCTTGCTTAATATCAGGGAATGACTGAAAGTATTTAAGCGCTACACTTCAATATTAACCTATTTCCTTAATTGGAATATTGTTAGGATAAAGAAAAATATAAAACCACTTCTATGAATGTTTCCCATCAACTGAGAAGCAGACTGCTTACCATACAAGCAATGAACAGTGTTAACTGTAAACTGGTGATCCTTCATTGCCCTGTTAACAGCTGAAGTCACATCCCTAGCTAGTAACTCACAAAGAGGTGGTTGGAAGGGTGATTTAATTCCTCAAAAATGGCTGCTATATTAATATTTATCTTTCCCACGATCTCCACTTCTGTACAGAACCCCACAAGTGTTAATCCTCAAGATATGTCAACACCATATTTATTATTTTTTTCCTTGTCATTTCTGTTATCAGTGTATTTGTTCTATCAGTGCTTCTCTGCAGATTATGGTGAAGAACATCATTTCATGTATAAAAAAAAAAAATCCTGTAAGTCTCACAGGAGATACTGTATGCAGGAATTATACTCTGCATGTCAATACACCATATAGGCTTTGCTGATGATGCTACAGGTTGACAGTGTAGACAAACATACTCATTAGATATCTCAGCTACTTATGAAGCATGTGATTCCCAACCTTGTCCCAGTCAGCATACTCTACTGAAACCACCAACAATGAAAAATCTTAAAGTTTAACACTTACAACACAGGGACTCAAAAAGCAGACTGCACCTCTCCTCTTCTCCTCTTTATTGTACCTTTTTATGTTTTGTAACTTGTAGAATGCGAAAACTCTGTTCATAATATTAATAAGAAGCAGAAGCAGTGTTTAACCTTACATTTGAAATGGATATGAAAGAGACGGGATTGCAATTTCGTAATGCTTTCCTATGGAAACTTTTTGAAGTTTTGTATTTTTTTAATAAATAAAACACTAGGTGCAGAACCAAATTGTGGATGTTTTGTGTTTTATACTAATACTTTAATGCATAAGTGTAAGAACTAAAAGCAGTTCATGATGTGATGTGTTTCAGCATCAGGGACCATGGAAGGCAAGTCATAGATGTTACAAGACCGCCATCTAGTGGCTGAAGAAAGATGCTTTATCAGCATTATTCTTTTGGATAAAATGAAGTGTAGCAAAGAGTCTTGGAGACTGTTTTGACATTTCAAGCAGCACACCACAAAGTTTAGACAATCACGCTTTAATCATCCGAGAAATATTCAGAAAATATGATCAAAATTTACAGACAGACCATTTTACATCGTCATGCCAGGGTTACTGCCACAGCATCTTTACCTTCCTGAACCAAACAATCTATTGACTGACCACAGACTGTTCAGAATTCAGCCAGAACCAAGAGATGGAATCACATCACTGCTGTTACAGGCTCGTTACACTGACTCGTATCATTTAGGACAGATGTGAAGATTGAACTGATCACTATTTGAACATTTTAAATAGCAGCAGCACAAGAAAAACAAAATAAAGCATTATCACTCATTTAACATAATTAATTTAAAGTTAAACAGACATAAAGCCCATCTCTTTTGATTCATGTGAAAATATGAAAACACACAATAAGAAAAAATATACACTATTTACAGGTTTACACAAAAATGAAAGCAATCACATAACTTATCCAGACACCTATATTTACTTTAGTGTTGTATATAACAAGGCTTTATAAACTGAAAAATCAATCAGTCGTTACTAATCATCTCACGATAGCAGTGGTAACAATGGCCATGAAGCAGGAGTTTGCAATAAAGGCAAGACTGAACATTTACAGCTTCACAGTTTTATACTAGTAGCAGGCGGTACAAACAGCATAGTGTGCTCAGCTAGTGTGAAGACTGTCAAACAGATGAAAGTATAACTCAACTTTTTGGGAAATGCATTTATTCAACTTCTGACAGATGAGAAGACTATTACTCTCCTATCTGTCTGTCTATTTGTTCAATTCTAGTAGACTTCAGCCAACGAGTGGTTGGATTAATATATTTGGTTTGTTTAATCAGTACAAAAAGTCTTGGTAAGGATTCAACTAATCACATAAAGAGTTACTTCAGACAGTATTTACACTCCTTTGCATCATGTACAATGAATTGTTTTGTAGATTTAATTTTAAATGGACAATTTTGCCATCAATCTACACTCAATAATTTATAGTGACAAAGTGAAAACATGTATTAAAATGTATTTAAAATCAAAAACTGAATTTACAAAAGTATTCAGACCCTTAATTGTAGAAGCCACTTTGGCAGTGGTTCCAGCATCAGGTCTTCTTGTGCAAGTCATCCCAGGCTTTGTACAGCTTGATTTTGAGAAACATATCAGATTATTCCTGACAGATCTTCTCAGACCAACAGATTAGCTGCAAAGCATCATAAAGCTCAAGGACACTCAGAAACTTGTTGCAAAGCTACAGTAATGTTGTCTTGGCTATATGCTTTGGGTCAACCCGGAGCAGTTTCCTGGAAAGCACAACCACAGCATGGTGCTGCCGCCACCATGCTTCACTTTAGAGCAGATATTAGCAGGTGATGAACAGTGCCTGATGTTTGTCAGATATAGAGAATCTTTTTTTCTCATGCTCTCAGAGTTCTTTAGAAGCCATGTCCTAGCAGGTTTTCCCCATCTCTGCTGCGGTCTTCTGAAGCTCTGCTAGAGGGACCGTTGCAACTCTGGTCACGTGCTGGACCAAGCAATTTCTAAACTTCTTCCATTTCACAATTACAGAGGACATTGTTCTCCTGGAAACAAACAGCTTTAGAAGTGGTTTTTCACCCTTGCCTTGGCACCTCACCACAGTTTGGTCATGGGGATCTACACAGAGTTGCACTGGTCTATTTGCTGTCCTGACATGCACTGCCAATGTGGGATCTTGTTTACTCAGGTGTGAGGCTTTCTGATCTCTGTTCAGTCATGTTGATTCCCGTAATGTTCTGGACACCTCTTAATGATAATGGTGCAAACAAACTGCAACTCACCACAATTTGGTCTAAATACCTTTATAATGGCTAATTCACTTTCTCATTATGGGCTACTGAGTGTAGGATGGCAGGAATTTTAGCAATTTATGAATGTTTTCTGTTTGAAATTAGTCCCAATTTACAATCTTCACAATGTGAAGAAGCATACTTTCTAAACTGACTTTAGTGTGATATTTAGTAGACTTTGCTCATGTTTGACAGAACCACACTTGCTATTACTTTTTCTGGTCAATCAGATGCTTATTTAGGGATTGTTAGCAGAAAGTAGCGTACATGCCACACTGCTATCTTTATTTGTTCCATTTGTCAGCAATCAAATAACATGTCAGAGGGTACGGAGCCCCACAAGGGTCATGTGGTAGTAAAAATATTTCAATGAAAGTCGATGCAAATGAATAAACACAGTGGTAGGCACACAGATTGGTAACATAAGTGAACTGTGGCTACATTCAACTTCTTTTCCTAAGCCTGCCAGCACCTGCTTAGAACTACAGACATAAACTGAACTAAGCAGGTGAACATGCTGCTACTTTATTCTTTAATATTTTTAAAGTTAAGAGGACAGATTTATATGTCAAACAGATTCTGATTTTCAGAAAAGAGTATTTCGATTAAAGCAAATCAAATGTCAGTGTACATACAGCAATTGGCACTCGGTTTATTAGTATGTGCTCTCTAAATATTAATACATCTGTGCAGCTTATCTCCTAGTTTTTTTGTACTACCACATGACCCCTAGTGGGGAAAGGCAGTTTGGTCCAGTTGTATTTTTACTGTAGTGCACTCAGGTCCCTCATTTTGAAACTGTTGGCCCCCTCTGGGTTTTGAACAGAGTTAGTGCAACCCCCCACACCAGTTTGGAAATGTGAAAGTGCAGTTGAGCGATCAGCCAGTGCCTTAAAACTGTTCAGAGACGGACTAAAAACAGTCGGGTACGTCCATGGGTCTGATCCAGTCCAATGGACCATGGAAACAGACACACACAGAGCGGAACAGACACAAGCAGAGAGAAAGAGGACAGGTCAGAAGAAAATAGTGGTAATCAGGCTGACAACAACTTGTTCAAGCCATTCAATGTATATCTAATGTACTTTCTAGTTGTAAATGACAGTAGAGAGAGAGGAGAGGTGTGGTCGATGTGTTTGTTTTGCTGTGAGATGTCGGTGCTCTAGCAACATCTAGTGGCTCTGAAAGGCTACACACAGAACCATTAACCAAAAGATGTAACACAAGAAAATTAATATGTATTTCCAGAAATATTGAGCCTTTGATTTAATATATAAAGTCATGAAAGGTTGGTTTAGGCTCAGGTCAAATATGACATTTTGTGGGCTGTGATTTCCCAATGGGAAGATGTGTTTCTGTTCAGACAGTTGTTACACAGCACCCACAAAGAATTTAAGGATATGCGTGTGGAATTATGATTTCACCACAGCTATGCCCTTCTGCTCATAATGTTTCCTGATGCACTCGGTGATGGCGCTCTCATTATTAAGCTCCTTTCTGAACACCATAATGTAACACTTCGGGGCCAAGTGACAGCCGAGGACGCTGTAGCTAGAAATGAGAATGGCGGCACTTTCAATAGCTGGTTTGTACTTCCCTGTCAGAGTGAGATAAAGTGGGGTGAAGACAATCCAAATGATTAAAACCAGCAGCATACTGACGGTGATCAGCACTGCATTTTTATATAAATCTGGCAACTGTTTACTTTTGAATGCAAACGTGAAACAAATAAAGCCCAATAAAGCCTGATAGGCTGCCATGGCTAAAATGAATCCATTGAACCTAATCTCACACTGATGCACGATAGTCTTTTCAGACATGTCCTTGTCAGGAGTTGGGGGTTGTATGGCCAGCCATGACACAGACAGAACCAACTGGACCCCAGAGACGATGGTCACCACAGCAAGCGGCCGATTAAGTTTCTTTATCCAGGATCCTACGTTCAGATCAAATGTGAAGCCCACCAAGATCTGAAGCAAGTTAGCCAGAATGCAGGAGATGCAGACGGAAAAGGCCATGAAAAAGAAAGGCATGCCTAAAAAGCATGAAACTTTGGTGGGTTTGCCCACAAAGCTAAAGGAAAGGCAGAAGCTAGCCAGCAGAGAAAAAAGTTCCAGAAAACACAAGTAGCCTCCAACTGCCTTGACAATGGGAGTTGAGTAATAAATTGCAAACAGAACAGTAAACCCAACGGTAGCAACTATCCCAACGCATGCCAAGAAATTCAAAATGATAGAGAAGGGATCTGACCACAAGAGATATTCATCAGTTTTGTTCAAACACTGGTCCCTCTTTTCACTGAGTGAATACTGATTTTCTCCACAGCGCTTACACGGCTGACCTGTAGAGGTAAACAAAGCAAAGTGACTTTAACTGCAAAAGGCAAGAAACTACATTTTCTTATTCATCTTGAACAATAAAACCCCTTGATAAGGAACAATGTAAAAAATACCTAAAAACAGATTTTGTTTTACATAAATGAGGAAGTACCAGACCACAGTATCACCATTACAACACAGCACTGTGGGAGGAAAGTTGTACGATGTTTGGGAATGAGGGCGAAACTAACTTAAGACGGGACAGGCAACAAAAAGAATGTAACTGGAACATCAAATTCAATACAATATAAGGGTTAAAGTTTGAAACTTTTAGTGTATAAACCTTTTGAATGCATTATATAAAACCAATAATGCAACAGGTGGTAATTTGATCTGATTCCTCAAATATTAAATATGTAAGGGATAATGCCCGACGAGGTGTCCATTATCAGAAATTAATGGACGACGCGGAGGCGTGAACCGTCCGACGCGAAGCGGAGGACGGTTGCTTCCGCGAAGTCCATTAATTTCTGATAATGGACACCTCGAAGGGCATTATCCCGCTTATACCATGGTCACTTACGAAAGATATTACTAAATAAATATTAAATCAATTATTAATACGTTAATGTTGTTTTTTACCGTTAAAATCGTAAGTTTTCCACAACAAGCGGCTGAGCGGACTATTTCATGTCTCTCGTTGTGACGCGTTGCCAAGGTAACCGGTCGGCCGCAGCTGTTATTGCTGTCTTGCCGTTGTGATAAATAAACTGAAATAACGTATATTAACGTATGTTCTGAGTTTCTGTTGCCACGGTTACCAACTACCGTTTGAGTCAGCGCATTAATTTAGAACAATCAGGTTATTTGACCGGAACTTCTTTATAGGTGTCCTATATCACTTGTTAATGGACACCCTGCAGCCAATCAGAATCGAGTATTCACCCAGACCATGGTATAAAATGTAGTATCCCATTGCTTAGCTCATTATTAGACATGACATAAGCATATTATTGTAGTTCATGGCAGCAAGATCGTATATAGAGTCCCAGCTGATATAGGGGCCGGACAAAATTATTTTAGGGAGGAGGTGGGAACAGAAAAAGGGAAGGTTTATGTGGTTTTTTTTTATTGTTTTTGTTTTTGCTGAGTTTTTAGAGGAGCAACCTTTAATGAAAACTGCCCCTGATTTGTACCTTACTTTTACTTTTACATTTCCTTGCTAAAACAAAAAACAAAAAACAGTTGTCATCATACATACTATCTCGGTAGTTATTCTGTATAATCACCAAAACTGACATCACGGTTGTTTTAACATAATATTTAACAGTAAAATTATCTGTATATTTAGTACTAAAACAACATTATAAAACATAGGCCCTTCGTTGAATCTTTGACTTATTGTTTTTTAAAGAAAGACGAGTCTCTTTTGTGACATTATTTGATTTGGAAAGCCTGGTAAAAATACATCCACGCCGTATCATCACTAGCGGCAACTGTTTGTTCAGTTTTTGTCCTTCTAAAATTGTTTTAAAAATTACAGTTGTGTTGTAGATTCACAACTGCTGACCTTATTCTTAAAAGAAAGACTAATTGCATTATTTTAGTATAAACTGATGAGGCATTGTATGTACATTTAAAGGTTTTTTGTTGTTGTTGTTTTAAAACACTGTAGTAAAATCAGAAAGACACTTTGTGTATGAACCATGTATAGTAAAGATAAATCTTTGCCATGTGAAACACATCTCCGAATTAGAGTTTTATCTGTAAATAGGATAGGGGAATCTCTCTAGTTAGGTTGCTTGGTTTCAAACTAGAGAGAGCAGCTGAAATGCTTTGTAATCAGGACCTACCATTTGTTATGATTACCGTAATTTTGGCAATTTCACTCAAAATGTGTCTGTAATCTTTTCTCTTTTTTTGACATTTTAAGCCTGCTATCAGGGTTGAAAAATTTTGGGGTCAGGTCACCAGGTTCCACACTAAATCCCAATAGCACTGGAAGGGTGGGCTTTTTAAAAAAAAAAAAAAAAAAAAAGCAGGAGTCAGACACCTTCCTCAGCACAATCCCTGTATAGTCATTTACTGCCAGTTTTTGTTTCATCCCCACATTGACTAACATTAATTTCGTGCAACTACTATTATGTTGCATGAGATTTATAATAAATCACGTACCGTTTTTAGGGGAAAACTCTCCACTTGCACATCGAACACAATCAAAGCAACACTTCTTTGCATGTGTTTTCAATTCATGTCCTGGTTCACATTTTTTAGAGCAGTTGTAAACAGATACCTTTGAAGGACAAAACAGAATCAGAACAATATATCCATAAACAATTCTGGAAAATAAATAAAGGATGAAACTTTCACCTCACCGTCACATTTTCCATCTTGCTACGAAGATCGTCTGGGATTGTGATTGTTCCATTTGGCCGATCTGGCAAGTATTCTCCAATAGTTTCTATTTGTGATAACTGCATGGATTCAGACATGTTCCAATATACGATATCATATCCCAAACTGGGGTCTCCTTCACTGTTAAAGAATATGTGAGTGGTGTCTATAGTGCAGTTAACCTTCTTGATTTCCATGAGAAGCTATGGAGACAAATAAATATAAAATCAGGACAATCTGTTAAAACATATTTTACACTTCATAGAGGAGATATTCAAAAATGTTGGTAAATTTTAAGTGCAAGAAGCCCAAATTTATATTTTCTAAATATCAGAAAATACTTTGTTCTGTTGCTTATCTATGAACCTAATGGTGACGACAATGCCTCAGAAATCTAGCAAGAAAAAGACAAGGAAATGACCTGCACAACACACCCAAAAAAGGCAAACTGTCTTCTCCGTCTACTTATAAACCTTGATTATGCTCCCTTTGAACATGCACACTGAAGATGTGTACTTGTTATTATTCTATGTAGGGACTCTGTTCCATACACGTGTAGTAGTTCATATCTACATGTTCAGCGCATGCACACTACTGCCTTTCTAACATAGCCACTGTACTGGCAACAATTTTGGGCTGCACATGGATGTCTGCAGAGTCTACACTGACTTGTGTGGACTTGGAGAAAAGATGGAATCTATGTCATCCAGACCAAAGTAGACCCTCGCATACTCATAAACATGGAAAGTATAGTCCACCTGGAGTCATGGCTGCACACAGACATCCACTGCAAAGTCTGTACAGACTCTCATGGACTTGGTAAGATGGCACAATTATTGTCAGTGTGGACCCTTGCACACCCACTATGGTTTCAAGTATGTGAAGGTACATGAGGGTATGCAGAACAGAGATTTTGTTATCTTCCATGCAGATTCCTCTGCAGTCCATTACGTGCAGCCCAATATTTGCACTACAGAGTGAGTAGTGTGCATGTGCAGACTACGTAGATACAATTTCTTGTGCATGTACAGAACAAAGTCCTACCAGACTCCTAAAGCAATAGTGTTGTTATAGTATGTGTCCACAGGAGTGTTTTTGTAATGCCAGTGATCATGGCGCTTTCCAGCATTTGACACTTGATGTGTGGGACTAACAAGTGTCACAACAAGCCTTTACAGGCTATAACATCCAACAATCATGCAAACATTTTCTGCACCAGTTTATACGAACACTTCAGGCTGTCTGCTTTTAGATTTCAAACTGGACCAATATGTTGGCTTTTTCATAACTTTTCTGCTATAGTACAAAAACAGTTCACAAAAATGTTTCTAAAAACATTTGAGGTGACAAACAAGCCATGCAGCTGCTTGAACTGTCTCCATTTTACATCGACACCAGTTAGTTGTGGAGTGTTTACGGGCTGTGACTGATGTAGCCTAGACCTCAGCTATGCAAATGTGGAGCAAGAAAATCAACACCCCGTCTCCTGAAGCACATTTTGAACCAACCAGAATGCACTGCATGGCTCCTTACACAAATAATGTAGGGGGCGCACTGAGCATTCTGTCGACACACCTCTATAGTATCTGCAGCTCTTCATGTGTGCATTCACAAGGGAGTATAATCAAGGCCTGACACTTCCCTTAGACAGCACCAGGCTCATTGTTTTCCTATTGACAGTCTTAATGCTAGACTAAGATAACTGGCTTGTAGCTGTAACTTAAAATTTACAAGACAGACACAAGAAACACCAAATGCTGTCATCTAACTCTGCAAAAAACACGTCTGAAGAGTATTTGCAAAGAAATACTTTAGCAGTGTAGTGTAGGTTTGTATGATCTGTTTACCTCCAAAGCTGTAAATTTGGGGCCACGTTTACACCGCTGGTTATCACATTTCAGCAACCGTCTGAGACCATCAGCAATCACTTGAACAGCCAGATAGATACTGTAAGATTCACCCTGGTCAATGTAATCTGCCAAACAGCTGGGGTGCAGACACTGCTGGCTTTTGGTCTGTGAGCAGTTTTTCTTTTGGTTCTCCACAGACTGATTTAAGCAAAGTGGATTAGTCAGGGAATGATTGATGAAGCTGTTCGTAGTTCCGTTAAACACTGAGCTGACATAGTCGTTGAAACCAGGAACCTCATTCCTCTTAAAGATGAATCCATAAACTTGCCCTGCCAAACCAATGTCTGGCATTTCAGAGATCAGTGAAGAGGTGGACCACGAATCACTTGCAATCCATGTTCTATTGAGGCGACACTTAATAGCTTCTTCCATAATGATCTTAACATAGGCATCCCTGGTGAACAAGATGATGGCCTCAGCTGAGGAGTTACGGATTTTTTTTACCAGGTCAGGTAGCAATGAACTGTTTCGGTGAAAGTCACCAGGCAGGATTTTAATGAATTCAATGCAGACTGTCTCATTATTGAAGAGGTCCTCAAGGCGGTCACTGCCGTACTTTCCATACTCATCATCACTTCCCACAATGGCCACAGTTTTCCAATTACACGCCAACACTAGCTGAACAATGGCGTCTGTCTGATATGCATCACTTGGTACTGTTCGCAGAAAAGTGGGGAACTTGTACTTCTTGCTGAGCAACTCACTAGTTGATGCATAACTAATCTGCAAACAGGAATAAAATCATGTTAAAAAAAAAGTTCCCCAATCTATTTTGCAACAGTGATTCATTTTTAATCAAAACACAGGTTCTATTTATTATGTTCGTGCATTTCCAAAGAAAGTTAGACTCAAATACAAAGTAGACAAACCTGGGCAACTGATGACAGAGCAAAAATTCGTGCAACGGCTACTGACATTTCAGAATACCTTTCACCGATCACCACCTTCGTTTTGGGTTCAGGCAAATCATTTTTAGGCAGTGAGCAGCTCTGAGGGTCTGACTGGTTCTTCAGCAGCTGGAGTGCTGTTTTAATGGCGATGCTGACGTCTCCACAAGTGTCATAGATGTCATATCCTATGGTTAAGTTGGGTAGAATTCCTCGCAGGTTTACTTCTTTGATGGCGTGTATCATTACGTGAGCACGCAGGAACATTTCGAAATCATAGCTGCGAAAATTAATGGAAGACATAAAATTTCCAAAATTATTTATGTATAATATAATCTTGTAGTCGTAGTCGTTTACTTACTCAGTACAGGTGGGTGCTCCATGCACCGTGGTTCTGTTGGTTTTTAAGTGGATGGGGAAAAGTCCTCCAATAATAATGTCCCCAGGAGAGGAGTCATGCAGATGACTATTCTCTCCTAAACAAGAGTGAAAAACACTTGTGATGCAGACAAATATCCACACCAAGAACATGGTTGATACATGCAGGTGAAACATCGACTTGTATGCACTTGTGCTCATCTCTCAAGTGGAACTGGTCCCTGCACTGTAGCTCTCATTTAACTTCCCCCTGTGGATCATTTGCATTGTTTTCTGTATTGACTGGCACGAAAGCAGCAAGGTGATTTGAATTGCTGAAAGAAAGGGACTTAGTCACAGTTCTGTATAATTCTTAATCAAATGTTATGATCGCTCATCTATAACTGATGAACTGGTTTAAACAAGTTTCTACATTTGACTATAATTTGAATGATATCTTGCCTTGTTCATCTCAGATCAACACCTCCAAAACTAACATGGTGCAGTTTGCACTGAAATCCACAGGAGGGCAGTGTGCTGATTACAACTATCCTCACTGAGCATTATATCCCTTAAAATGCAGTTATTTACATTCTAGTTAAATCAGTTACATGTAATTTGATCAGTTCCCATTAATAGAGTAATGTGAAGAGATAATGCTGCACATGCTAGATTTTGCAAATGATGTTGGACCCACAAAACACAGAAGACAAAAAATCCTAAAAGTTGTCAGAATGTAGGAGGATTTCTATAGTTTCAGGTCAGCTGAGCAACTCAGTGAGGTGTGATTAAATGAAGGTATGTGTGCCACTCATAGAGAGAGAGAAAACAGGAAGCAGGTGGGGTAATTTTGAGTTCTTTGTTGGTTGAAACATGTAAAAGTTGCATGATGTAATGAGCTGGTCACATGTTTAAAATGAACAAGTTTATATAGAGGTGTAAAAAGCAAATTGTAGAGAATTTAAAATAATTGCCACAAAAAAATGTGGATTAATAGAAATTCCTAAAATACCTATTACTTTAATACTTTACAGTCTTATATAAAATGTACCTTAGATTGTTAAAAAGTACCGTACATACAGTTGAAACCACATCACCTTTTTTTTTCTCACTGTCTGACATTAAATCCGACTAAACGTTTCCTGTTTTAGGTCAGTTAGGATTACCAAAATTATTTCTATTTGCTAAACACCAGAATAATGAGAGAGAGAATATTTTAGATATTTTTTTATTACTTTCTTCAAAGTCAGAAGTTTACATACATTACCTTAGTATTTGGTAGCATTGCCTTTAAATTGTATTGGGTCAAATGTTTTGGGTTTCCTTCCTCAAGCTTCTCACAATAGTTTGATGAATTCTGGCCCATTCCTTCTGACAGAACTGGTGGAACTGAGTCAGGTTTGTTGGCTGCCTTGCTCCACACACCTTTTCAGCTCTGCCCACAAATGTTCTACAGGATTGAGATCAGGGCTTTGTGATGGCCGCTCCAAAACATTGGCTTTGTTGTCCTGAAGCCTCTTTGTAACTAATTTGGCGATATGGTTAGGGTCATTGTCCATTTGAAGACCCATTTGGGCCCAAGCTTTAGCTTCCTGGCTGATGTCTTGAGATGCTGCTTCAATATTTCCACATAATCTTCTTTCCTCATGATGCCATCTACACCCCAACAACATGATGCTGCCACTCCATACTTAACAGTTGGGATGGTGTTCTCAGGTTGGCAAGCTTCCCCCTTTTTCCTCCAAATGTAACGATGGTCATTATGGCCAAACAGTTCAGTTTTACTTTCATCAGACCACTGGACATGTCTCCAAAAATGAAGGTCTTTGTCCCTGTGGGCATTTGCAAACTGTAATCTGACTGTTTTATGTTTCTTTTGGAGTAATGTCTTCTTCCTCTCTGAGTAGCCTTTCAGCTCATGTCGGTACAGGACTCGTTTAACTGTGGATAATGACACTCTCTTACCAGCTTCAGCAGCATCTTCACAAGGTCTTCTGCTTTTGTTCTGGGGTTGATACACACATTTCACACCAAAACACTTCATCTCTGGGACACAGAACCCGTCTCCTTCCTGAGCAGTATGATGGCTGGACATTCCCATGATGTTTGTACTTGTATATAATTATTTGAACTGATGAACGTGGAACCTTCAGGCATCTGGAAATTGTGCCCAAGGATGAACCAGACTTGTGGAGGTCCACAATTCTCTTCCTGATATCTTGGCTGATTTCTTTAGATTTTCCATGTTGTCACAACAGGAAGCAGTGTGTTTGAGGTGTGTCTTAAAATACATCCACAGGTGTGCCTCCAATTAAATCAAATGTTGTCAATTAACCTATCAGAAGCTCCCAAAGCCACGACATCATCTTCTGGGCTTTCCCAAATAGTTTGAAGTCATAGTAATCTTAGTGTATGTAAATTCTGACTTTGAAGAAAGTAATGAAATATTCTCTAAAAGAAAATTCTCTCTCTCATTATTCTGGCATTTAGCAAATAGAAATAATTTTGGTAATCCTAACTGACCGAAAACAGGAAAAGTTTAGTCCGATTTAATGTCAGACAGTGGGGAAAGAAAAGCTTTTATGTCTTTTTATACAGTGTATGTAGACTTCTGGTTTCAATTGTATATGTATTAGCCCTGTTGTACTTTTCGTAATTCTTGTGCTTCTTTCGGTGTAACCTTTATGATACAGGCTGCATCCAGCTGCTATCAGGCTGCTGTGAATTTCCCTGGTGAGAGATCAATACATTTATCTTATTTGGTATAATTATTATTGTGGATGTAGCTTCAGAATTGTATCAGATCCTGGAAATCAGAGGGAAATGATTTTGTGATAGACCAGCCTTATGGGAAAGTAACAGCAGCTGCTGCCCTGAAACCCCCCCTCTCTTGTCCAGGCCTAGAAGCCTTTGGATTGGGCCTCTGGTTCTCCACGCCTCATGGACCGTGGATCAGACCATATAAATAGGCAACACTGAGCTGGAGGAGGAGGAGGACCACCACAGAAAGCCGACTGTGTGCTGGCACCATGGCTTCATTAATATGGGGACTGGTCTGCCTCGCTGGCATCCTGGCTTCGGGATCTGTGGGAACTTTGGCACAGCCTCGGTCACAGCACCGGCAGATGCTGTCAGTCAGTCCTCCTGTCTCACGAGTGTCCTCGCAGTTCCACCCAAGAATCCGTGAGCGCTTCGACGATATCACATCTATTGAACAAACCTCTGACGAAGTACCGAGTGCTGAAACTTTTCGGGACGTCCAGCTGGATGATTACACCGTCCAAGACTTCCAGCAGCGGCGGGGCGTCCGAGCAGGTGCCACCAACCACCTGCCGCTGGATGGACGGAGAGCTCAGGGTGGAGGTCGGTTGGTAGATGCTGTGCGCTTTACGCGCAATCTGTTCTGTGGACGTGTGCAGTAACCCTCCTGTGTGTGTGCAAACTGATAGTAAAGGCGTTTTTTTGTATTTTTATGTTATTATATCTATGATAGATGCATGGATACAAAGTCAGTGTGGGTCAAGACCCTGTAGGATTTTGGAGGACATGTAGTTCCAGCGCAGTTTGTGCCCATAAGCAAAATCAATCAAATAATTAAAAATCGGAATAATTTTTGGACACCAGACTCTTCTTGCGGTAAACCAAAGTAAACTAATGCTGTCTCTTCTGCCTCTCCCCTCTCGCCTGGCAAAGCTGGTGGCACTGATTCCAGGTCTGATCGTTATCAGCCCTCCGACCATCAGTCGCCACAGAGGCAGCGCAGCAGCCAGCTGTTGTCACCGCTGCAGCGCGCAGACTCTCCTGCATCCAGCAGAACCAGCGCAGGTACTGAACCTCAGCCAACATGGCAGCAGAAAGAAACAGCCTTTACTCATGCAAGCAAGCAAGCAGATTTAATTCAATACCATGTCATACACAGAGGTTGATGAAAACATGTAACAGACCAAGTACAAAATACTTCATAACATTAATAGCTAAAAAAAGAAAGAAAAGAAACAGTGAAGTTGAATAAAGTGCACACACATTTTACTGAAAATTTAAAATTAATTGGCTAAAACAGAAGAAAAAGTCAAAAAGTAAGAAAATGAAAAGCATGTAAGAGATAAAATATACAATAAATAAATGATATACAACTAAATGGAAATAAATGGATTAAAATGTTGTGACCAAACTTTATAAAATAACACTGATCATTTAAAAGTACTGCCTTTGTTGTGGTGAAGGTTTTAAATTGTGGCTCAGTATAAATTTCATCAGTTTATTTTTTTATTAGTACTGTAATATAGCAAGATAAATACAATTGCAATAAAAACATCCATTTGTTTTTTACAGAACCAAAATCTAACTGCAGAAACCGGCCAATAGACCTGGTCTTCATCATAGACAGCTCCCGAAGCGTGCGCCCCGCTGAGTTTGAAAAGGCCAAAGAGTTTCTGCAGGACATGGTGGACAGCATGGCTATTGGCTCTGATGCCACTCGAGTTGGCCTCGTCAACTATGCCAGCACAGTGCAGATTGAGTTTCTGCTGAAGAAGTATTTCGAGAAGTCCTCCCTGAAGCAGGCGCTGGCCCGTATTGAGCCCCTGGCTTCAGGCACCATGACAGGCATGGCCATCAAGACCGCAATGGAGAAAGCTTTCACTGAGGAGGCAGGAGCTCGAGCTGGCGCCATGAACATCGCCAAAGTGGCCATCATAGTGACGGATGGGAGGCCCCAGGACAAGGTGGAGGAAGTGTCAGCAGCAGCACGAGCGTCAGGGATTGAGATCTACGCGGTGGGAGTGGACAGAGCTGACATGGCGTCCCTCCAGCTCATGGCCAGCACCCCCCATGATGACCATGTCTTCTATGTGGAGACCTACGGTGTCATAGAGAAGCTCACTTCCAAATTTAGGGAAACTTTGTGTGGTAAGGATGATGATAATGGGAGTGCTGATATTCCAATAGATGCCGGAATTGATGATAATGGACTAGGCCTAGGTGGCAGGAAGGACCGTAATGGAATAAATAATGAACGTGGCAATAAGGGAGACAACGGTATGTCAGCTCCGTCTTCTTATATTAACCTGTGATCAAATGGGCAGCACCATAGAGGGAATCTCCATTCTAAAGTCACTGGTCCTCTTCTTTGGTCTTAAGAACAAGGGCAAGGTAACCAGTCATTTACCGCCACTTGTTGTTGCATTTGGATTTCCCACCAAAAACATGTTCACTAACTGTTGCCATGCAGATGGTGAAAAAGTAGAGTGGAATTAATGCAGTCAGCATTAAACATGTCCGGAAAGTTATGTACTAACAATTTAAAGAAGAAGACAAGCCTCTGATCACTGGTTCATCTGCTGACTCAGAGCAAATTCTACATACTGGAATGCTTTAAAATGGTAGAAACCTAATATGATGCTGTCTATATGTTCACAGGGAGCGTGCTGCTCTTCACTCGCTGCTCTGCAGTTTGTGTCTCATGCCGTGTGCGCTGCTCAGTTACTTGAAGACGTGCAAAGCTGGTGTCAAATTTGGGCTTCTGCCATTTCTGACAGAACATTCACACTTACCATGCACAGGAAAAACTTAACTAGCTTGTGGTAAAGTTGACTAAAAAGGTGATTCGGTGTAAATCCTTTGATTTAAAGGAAATCTTATTTTCCAGTTAGCTTAGCTTAGCACAAGGACTAAGGATGGGGGAACAGTGAGCCTGGCTGTGTCCAGACATAACCAGCACCTTTAAAACTGATCTCATTTGTTTAATTGTTTCAAAAAATGAAGTATTAAAAAAAGGAAAAAATAATAGAGTAAAGAACATGTAGGTTTTTACAATTGGAGAAAAAAACTAAAGCATTTGGATGATTTCCACTAAATCTCCATTTATTTACATTTATGTAGTATGTAGGCTACAGGAATGCTTAATTCAGCTCAACTGCTTTTGATAAATTTGGGTGATTTCATAACTTGGAATGTAAGAAGTACAAGCGTGTCTTCATGAAAGTGTAACTCTTAAGTTAAAAAAAAAACATGTAAGCAGCCCCCAAAGACTCACAATGGGATTTTGGTCTGAACTACTTCTCCATTTACTCTCAAAACATTTTGAGTTACCCAGCAGTTCGCATTTTTAATCCCCATTTGTACAAAGAGGAAGGCTGGATGAACACTGTGATTAGTCAGTGCTGTGGTTTCTGGTGATACATCTGTTATATTTGATAGAAGTATAGAGTTTATACCTTGAGTGTTTCTCTTTTTCCACAAATATAACTGTACTCATTGTCTTTTCAGTAGTGCTGAAGCTGTAATTCTATATTTATATTAATAGCCATGACAATAATCATAACCACAACCACATGTTCCAGTCACAGCTTCAACCACAGCTCTAGTCACTGCCAAGCATGCAGGTGTAGCTCTGCTGCTCTTTATTGACCAGGGGAAATGGGACAAGTTGAGATTCCCACAAGAATCATTTCCAAGTTTGTTTGATACACAGTTTAGTTTTATAGTTGCGCTATCTCAAGTTGTCGTCTAAGAACTGCCATATGCCCCCTTTTAATGGCTGTCACTTGTTGTAGAGCCTCAGAGTTCATGTTGGAGGATTTCTGAGTGGATGAATGGGTCAACAAAACACTAGACATTATAATATAAGGCCACATTTTGATTTCGAACCAATTGTTGCATGTTCCATGACTACATTTTTGTTATTACACTCATGATGATGAAGGTCCTCCAACCTTAAGAAAGTACCTATTTTCACTAAAACATAGATCATTCCTTTAACAGAGCTAAGTTGTTTTTCTACCTAAAACTAGCCAAACCTTTACCACAAAACTGCTACAATATAAACAGGTTAGTTATGTGTTTCTGCAGTGATTTCTAGCACTTCACATGTGGCATATCTCACCAAGACGCTCCAATAGATAGTATTAGAGAGTAGGGACGAATGACAAATGTAGTTGGAAACCTGGTAGAAAGAGCTATTGAGAGAGAAGTATTTCAGAATCCCACTATTGAGTCATTTTCATTCGGTAAAATGTGGATTTAAAAAAATGTTAGCATTTTCAACTTTCTGGAACCACCCAAACTAGCAAACACACGTTACATATGTTAGAAATGTAACATTCCACTTAGTGTTGAACTCACTGCAAGTCGTGTTAAAAATCACAACAGGCCTTCAGCGCAAACTGAAAAACTTGCTCTTTAATGACAGTTTGCATCTGAAGAGTGGGTTCAAGCGACCTCTGTGTTTCACTGAGACCACCTAATGTCTGTTCACATCACTACTGAAGGCATGCAGTGATTAAATGAAAGATTGCAGCCTTCAGTAGGTTTTGTGTTAAGATTTTGTGTTTGGTTTGTACTGCATGGAATTTTTGTTGCAAAACTAAGATGGTCAGTTATTCTGTTGGCTTGAGTTGAAAAGCCTGTGTAACATATGTCTATGTCTTTATCTTCACAAATAACTGTCTGAAACAATGTAAATTAATTATAACGTCCTTGTAGTCGAAGCACAGAGATCACGCAAACTAACCTGCATGTGGCTGCTAACTCGGTGCATACTTACAACTTACTAACAAAGAAGTTATTGATTTCACTAGACTTAAGCCAATCAGACATTGGAGTGTTTCTTTTCAGGTTCGGATGCATGTGCTCAAGGACACAGTTGCCAGCATATTTGTGTCAACAACGGCAACTCTTACAGCTGCAAGTGTCGCTCGGGCTACGTCTTAAACCCGGACAAGAAAACATGCTCACGTAAGACTCTTTATTTGTCTTTATGTTTATATTCATTGTCACGGTCCCAAAACCCTGCAGTGCTTTTGCATGATTTAGCATCTAAAAACTACTGTCAGAAATGTTAGACATGACTAAAAGTTATATTTTGACTGAATCTTGATGAAACTTTGATCTGATCTTGAATGGGGAAAGCCTTGTTAGACATAGATAAAATATGATGGAACAATGTAGATAGCACCTCGGGTTCATAGGCTGTGTTCAAACTGCTTTTGATCATTAGTTGGTTTGGTACTCTATACTGTAAACACGCCGCATACCATCTCTTGTTGCCAGTGTTTTGGGTTGCCCAGAATAGATTTGGGAAGACAATATTCATGATAAATTAAATGAGCAGGCAGGGCATGGTAAAAGCCTGGGCCGATGAGTGGCACAAACCCTAAAAGTTCTCCTTCTTTGCTGTTATGTCAGGACTGAAAACCGTCTTAGTCAGATGTTGGGTAATCCAAACTGGTAATAATCCTTACTGCTGCATTTTGAACAAACTGCAGGTGATAAAGGGAAGCATTAGTAATACCTGAGTTGATGACATTAAAGAATTTAGACAAATAAACGGGCGAGGACACGGAACATCGTGAGTAAAATAGGAAACTAATTATTGTTCATTTTCAGTAACAACAGAAGAGGTTCTATTAGACAGCTCTGAGGATAATAAACTGAGAGTAGACATTTTTGGAATGGTTATACCAATATATTGTGGGACAGAGGCATCTGAATCATTCCACACATATGATTCCTTTTTTACTCAATGTGCTGTCGTTGGTAGTCTGCCAGAATCAGTAATAGCTTTTTTGGGCTTCTGTTTGGCCAACGTGGCTAAGGTAAGGGTTATATCGCCACCTGTTGGTTTGGCTGTTGACAGTGTTTCAATTGTGTTATTGCATTTTCGTAAAATGGAGGAAAATTTTAAAGAATACCTCAAACCAGACTGAAAGTTACTGAAAACGCTGTTGAAAGGATGATTTGCACTTGTATGAAATGTAACTAATTCAGGGCTTCTTGACATCTATAGTTTAGATGTGGAAGTGTTTCTTTTCAGGTTCACATACATGCGCCCAAGGACATGATTGCCAACATGTTTGTGTCAGCAGTGGTGACTCGTACGTCTGCAAATGTCAAATGGGATATGTGTTGAATGCAGACCAGAAAACATGCTCACGTAAGAACAAGAATTTGTTTGCTGTCTGTTTTTGACTGGTTTCTATGTGTTTTACATGACATTTCTGTGTGGTCTCCATTTGCATTGTGTGAGCTGGTGAGGGACTCTCTAAGGTGGGCACAGCATATTTTGGCTGAACAGGAACTGCTTTAGTTTATATGTCCTGTAAAAGTAACAGTCAAAAGCTCCATAATGACTCCCACCGTTAGAACTTCATGTTTATCAGATGAAGAAGTTTTTCTTTTCAGGTTTGGACACATGTTCCCAGGGACATGACTGCCAACATATCTGTCTCAGCACTGATGATTCGTACATCTGCGAGTGTCGAATGGGATATGTGTTAAACACAGACCAGAAAACATGTTCACGTAAGAACCTGAACCTTTCTAGTAAACTTGATGTTGTGACAGATTTCCTACAAATTGGATGTTGTATGTACACGATCTAAAATACTTGGGAATTGGTGAGATCACAGCACTGAAGTCGACTGCTTGGCAAGAATTTGTACGATCACGTTGAATTGGAATCAGCAGTTACAACTTTATGCCATCTTGAAACAAGAGTGATTGGGTCACTGATTAATACTAGCCTAGAAAACATTTAAGATACTCTACACAGTGAGAGGTGGAGGCTCAGTTCAGCTTTAACTTGCACTCTGTCAGGTGCAGGTCAGTTCTTATGACGACTGTGAATAGAAATGTTTCTTTGCAGATTTGGATACGTGTGCCCAGGGACATGACTGCCAACACACTTGTGTCAAAAATGGTGACGCATATGTCTGCATGTGTTACGAAGGATATGTGTTGAATGCAGACAACAAAACCTGTTCACGTAAGAACACTTACAGACACATTTCATACCTTTATTTGGTGCAGTGTCCTGAGAACGTCGTTGCATTTGATTGTGCAAATCTTGTCGAAAACATTCTTTGGACAGCTGTCAGTAGGGAGACTGCATCAATGCTCTGAGAGATGGAGAACAAACAGAGTTGTGACTGTAAAAGAAATGGTGGTCCGTTAGTCTCATTCTACCAGTGCCCTTTGGAAATGTGTTGAATGCAGACTGGAAAATATTGTGAAAGCACCTCTGTAACCTCCTCTCTGTGGATTTGTCTCAGGTGTCCTATAACCTGCATGGACAGTATATTGGTTTGGTAAAAGTAACCTAAAAGATGCCTTTGATTGGCAGAGTTGTGTTTTACTGAAGAAGGTTCCACTTTGTTACAGCAAACTTGATCCCTATGAGTTTTTTGTTGGATTACCATGGTTCTGTCAGCACAGCAGTCTCTTGGAAATGAATAAGAAGGCTGTTTTGATGTAGTCTTAAATTTAGTCTGATTGGCAATTGTAATGTCTTAGTCGACCGTACCGCACTGTAAACATGATTATTTCTGCTGTAAAGTTGGACATTTTAACATAGGGGCTCTATGGGCATTGATTCCTTTTTGAGCCAGCTTGAAGTGGACATTCACGGACCTGCAGTTTTTTGTCACATCCATGTTGGTTTCATTTTCCAGCCCCATTGCTGTTTGGCAACAAGCTGCTTGAAGTTCCTAGTTATCCCATTTCCCCAGTGGCTAAAGGGGAATGACAGTAATACAAATAGTGGTGGCATCTTACTATGTGATGGCAAGGCAAAAATATAGACTTACCAGTAACGTTTAGCTTTGGTAGCTGTTCCTTTGAAGCTCAGTGGATCCATGGCAGATGTCTTGGGACTCATGTGGTCAGATAACTCATTGTTTCAGGCTCAGAAACCAGCAGGTTTTGCTGCTGGACAAACTTGTTGTCATGTGGACTAGAAAAATAATATAATTATGAATGGCCCAGAGCTGTTGAGACTCTTTGTACAGACAAATGCTATTCGTGCCTCTTGTGTGGCAAACTGCAAATCTGCTGACACTGAATGTATCAGTATTAGATACACTGACTAAGTACTGGCTTGCTCTTGTATACTGTCAGCTGTTGACCTCAGCCTGGATAACTTTTAGAATTAGGACAAAGACTGATGCAGATGTGTGAGCTGCAGCCAGTTTTTATCCAACTGAAAAAGAACAATGGCCAGACAGAACATCCAACAGGGCAAACTCTACATGTCATTAAATGTTACCCGCATATGGATGTGTCTCTTTTCAGGTTCTGATCCATGCACCCATGGACATGAGTGCCAGCACATTTGTGAAAACAGTGATGACTCTTACATCTGCAAGTGCCGATCAGGATATATGTTAAATGCAGACCAAAAAACGTGCTCACGTAAGACCCTGTCAGGACCTTTGATGTGCATTTTTGGAAGTGCAGTGTCACTGCTTTATAAGAGAAATTAACTACTGCTTGTTTAAATGAAGAAAAAAGACATACAGTATGTGACTGTTTCTGTCCTGAGCACCACAACAAACTCAGGAGTCCTAACTGATGGTGGAAGTGTTAGCTGTGGAAGTGTCTCTTTTCAGGATCGGATGTGTGCATCCAGGGACATGATTGCCATCACATTTGTGTCGCAAATGGTGAATCTTACCTTTGCGAGTGTCGAGAGGGCTATGTGTTGAATGCAGACCAGAAAACATGCTCACGTAAGAACCTGAATTTTATTTCTATGCTTCAGATGCATGTGAGGTGCAGTGTTTCAGACTTCTCTGATATTTATTTCACTAAATGGATTTTTTAAAAAAAAGTATGAGAGGTATGGAGTATATGACCATCACTTAAATTATAAATTGACTCACAGTGATGTACTGAAAGCTCCTGCCGGTGGCTCAGTTACAAATGCGAGTGTCTCGTTTCAGGTTCAGATACATGTGCACAGGGACATGACTGCCAGCATGTTTGTGTCAACAACAATGTCTCCTACATCTGCAAATGTTGGGAGGGATATGTGTTGAATGCAGACCAGAAAACATGCTCACGTAAGAACTCGGGCTTTATGAGTGGATATGGATCTCTTAGCAATGTCTGTGCTTTACTATAACCAGTATCATTGTATGAAATGTGGAGATAGAAGCACAGGGTATAGGGTGCTGTGCATTTTGAAATGATTCTGGCCTTTCTTAACCTAACCTAAGCATTCACAAATGATGGTCTTGGACAAACTATCTGTGGATATTAGCTCTATGTGTGTCTGTACTGTGTTTGATATACAGTGCATATAGAAATGCTAGTTTACATTTATATGCTTAAAAATTGGCATTACTTTGTAGAAATGTTTTGACTTTGACATGAAAGAGTCTTTTTCGTAAATTCTTGTCTAAAAAAGCTTAATTAAATTGACAATTGATGATGCAATGCTGAAAAGCAATAAAAGGAGAAAACTTTCGAGATGGTTGAATACTTTCTTTAGGCACTGTAAATGTTCTAGTGCAAAGTGGCAATTGCCAATATTGGAGGTACTTGGTTAAATGCTGCAAAAGCAATTTCGTGAAAGATAGAAGTGTTTGTGTTGGCCAAAAATATTCACAATAAGAGCTTGTGAGACACTGTAATGTACAGTTGATGCAGTTTATTTTGAATGAGTGCCCTGATGCATAGAGGCAAATGGAATGATTTAGTGTGGTTGCATCTGAGGAAAACATGCAGAGCTAAAAATCTGGACTTGCATGCAGTTTTTGTGGGTCATTACATAAATGCATTCTTTACATGTAGGTATTTGATTAAATGATGGAAAAGGTGCTGAAGATATGTCCACATCCTTCATAAAATGTTCATCTTTCTTTTCCCATCATAAGCTGCACAGTAGGCTGTGGGTTTCACAAATGCGTTAGCTTTGTAAGTGTCTCTTTTCAGGTTTGGACATATGCGATGAGAAACGTGACTGCCAACATATTTGTGTCAAAGACGATGATTCATACCTTTGCTTGTGTCATGAGGGATATGTGTTGAATGCCGACCAGAAAACATGCTCACGTAAGAACTGGCATTTTATTTTTGATATGCATCTGGTGTTTAGTGAAACTTCCTGATGTGTGATAAAAGACTACAGAAATCATCTTGTGTTTGCTAGATATACTCACGCAAGTTGTTAAAAATAGTTTCAACAGTTGAATGCAAATTATTTTTTGGACAGAGCCTGGGATTGATTTGCATATAACTAGCATATTTTGTAAGTGCAACTGTAGCCTTTTGAAGCTCCAAAACTTGTTGTGTAATTCATGGTGGATGCATTTACACTAAGTAAAGGACCTTTTACTAGGTTCAGACAAATGTACCAACAGGACATGACTGCAAGCATATTTGTGTCAAAATTGACAATTATTAAGTCTGCATTCAGGGAAAGTCTGTTCTCATAAAGTGACACAATCATAACCTTAATGTACACGTCCTGGTACTTAGGTAAAGTTTAAAAGGCCTTCAAAAGGAGGATTAAAGTTTGGATAGTTTTGGACATCAGATATGTAGTTTGTTCTTAATAATAGTAATAGACACAGGTGTACTGTATTGTTTTCATGGCTATGATGTATATCATTTGTAAAGCTTCACAAGTGTCTACCCTTGAAGACACACAGAAGAATGAGGCAGAGAACATTTAACTATAGCTACTATCAGCTGTGAAAGGATCAGTGGTCAATCAGAGGCTCCAGGTCTATTTGACTAATGATATGAGATATCATACCACATGTGGTCTCTTTTCAGGTTTTGATCCATGTGGCTATGGACATGATTGCCAGCACATTTGTGTAAACGGTGATGACTCATACACCTGCAAATGTCGAGTGGGATATGAGTTGAACCCAGATAAGAAAACATGCTCACGTAAGAAAAGTGGACCTTTCTTTCAGATGTGTCTTAGGCTTGCTTCAGAATCCATCATTTGCAGAGCTCCACCATAATGAGTTCTACTTACCAAGAGTTCTCTTATTGATGTAAATTGGGGAAGGTAGATGTGAAAGTCTTTCTTTTCAGGATCGAATACATGTTCCCAGGGACACGGCTGCCAACACATTTGCGTCAGCACTGATGACTCGTACATATGCAAATGTCAGATGGGATATGTGTTGAATGCAGACCAGAAAACATGCTCACGTAAGAACCTGGACATTTCACAATTTCACTGATATGTTACTAAAACTGAAAATAACAGTGATAGAAATGGAGCATGTGGTCACAGATTTCATTAACTTTATGAATGAGATTTACCCCTTCAGAGAGTTCACAACAAGTGAAGAGCTCATGATGGATCTCATCAGAATCAGTCAGTCAGATGTGGAAGTGTTTCCTTTCAGCATCGGATATATGTGCCCAGGAACATGATTGCCAGCACATTTGTGTCAACAGTGGTGACTCGTATGTCTGCATGTGTCGAGCGGGATATATTTTGAATGCAGACCAGAAAACATGCTCAAGTAAGAACTTTTTTTCAGTATGCATATTTGATGTCTGTGGTATGAGCAGCTTCCCTAAGTATCCCTACAGGCATAATTCATCACAGCACTAAAACCTTTTTCAAAAATATTTTCCATCATTAAAAATGTATGTGAGCAGTGCAAGAATTCACTCATAGTGAAGGAGATATGGGAGACTGGGCCTGATGAAAGGTATACGTCTAAGGGCTGTGGGATACACTTCTTTTACAAAGACCTGAGTCCAAAACCCCTTCATCAAGCCAAGTGATTGTTTCTGATGCAATAAATCACTGAGGTGTGAGCTTGTCTTTTCAGGTGCAGGTTCAGATGCATGTGCCAAGGGACACGACTGCCAGCACATATGTGTCAACAATGGGAACTCATACACCTGCAAGTGCCGAGTGGGATATGTGCTGAATGTGGACAAGAAAACATGCTCACGTAAGAAACTTCCTACCTTCAACATTTTTTTCAGTATCTGGAGGTATTTAATGTTATCCCATAACAGACCAAGAACTACTGAGGCACTTGTAATATATTCATCACATGATGGTGTTTTAACAGGGGATTCCGTGAATATTATAGGGCTGACAGCAAAGAGTTTGTTGACTGAGGTACCCAGTCATTTAGTGTGTCTTTCCAGGTTCAGATGCATGTACTCAGGGACATGACTGCCAACATATTTGTATCAGCAATGGAGATTCTTACAACTGCAAGTGTCGAGGGGGATATATGTTGAATGCAGACCAGAAAACATGCTCACGTAAGAGTTTGCACTTTTTGGAAACACACATTGTGGTGTCTGTGGAGGGTGTCTTTGCAACAAAGAGCCATGAGCGGGATTCGAACCCATGGCCGCTGCATAGTGGACTACAGCCCCTGTACATGGGTCACCAGCTCAACCAGTTGAGCGATAGCGCCGGCCCCCATGAGGCTTTTTAAACTAGAAAACTGGATCTCATTTTGATGCAGGTGACACTGATACCAAAGGACACCTTGCACATATCTGTTAGACGCCAGCAGCAGCAGAAGAAAAGAAAGAATTTGATGCCACGGTAAAGAGAAAGGCTTGACTGTAAGGAGCTTATGGCACAGACTGCCTAGAGTGCAGAATGCAACCATCTAACATCAGCAACTGTGGTTTTTCTGTACCTGACAGATTAATGCAGACAATGGAACATGCTGGATATATTGGCTCAAATGGAAATGCATGGGATGGCAGACTTATAGCTAATGTCTTACAAGGTCAGATAGCCCAACTACCTTGCCTGAAGATTTGCTTCAGCCATTGTGGTTATTGTGTTTTTGCTTCTACTGGGTCACCATAATTATTCCGCTAGGATATGCAGTGTAAAGTATTGGCTGCCTTGAAGGCTGCGTCAAAAACAATGATCTTCTTCGGCATAGACAACCTGATTTCCATGTCACCACTGCAAAATTTTAAAGATTTCTTCAGTCTGTTCCATGCAGTATGTGCTATCAAAAATGATCCTGAATTCAGCAGATCACATCAGCTATAGGTAGTAACAGTGGTGCGTCCACGGTTAGCTAACACCTCAGTGGAGAGCTCTGTGCAAAATAGAATGAAGCATGAGGACTGTCAACGCATTTCTGTGACTACTGTGATTCTCCAACCCTGTAACCTTGTGCAAAGTTGTGAGGTTTTGTGGATGCAGACCAGAACCAGCACTCACAGTAAATAGGGGGGGTGTGTTTACCAGTTTCTGTAGATTTACGATTATATTGTGTAACTTTAAATTGAACAGAACTATATGATTTCAATGATGTCTTTCCTTTTGCATTCTTCAGTTGTGGAGAAGTCTGCAGCTGACTGTTACCAAAGCTGCTAAGTCCAGCTGTACTGGTCCAGTACACTATGGAATATAGAAGTGTACTGTGCCAGTGTAAGGAGTGAAAAACCTTCAAGGAATGCTATCGGCTAATAAGGAACTTTGGTCCAACTAAAGATTGGACTGGATTGAATTTGTCTGTTGGAACCGAATCTCTTGCAGTGATTTGTGGCTGTGCATGTTTGTGTATAGATTGCTTAAATGATTATTATGTGTGTTAAAATCCCAGCTGAAGGTGTCCATACCTGACCTCAGTAAGTGAGTAGTCATGGGTGATGTTTGAGTAGTTTAACTGACTGAAAAGTTTTAATATATTTACTAATTTCACTTACAAAAGAAAACTCTTGATTTTGCCTAAAACTGACTGCTGTACACATTTCAATCAAGTATCCTTAAGTTTAGAATACAACACCTACCTTTAACCTACAACATAGTTTCCAATTTGAAGACTAACAACGATTCTTTGGAGCCTTAAAAATGAATCTTCAAATGGGAACGTAGATTGTCTGCGTTGCTTCTTTCTACTGAGTGACTAAAGCAAAAACGCAAGATATGATGAAACGCCTCTCACATTCTTCAACTGTCTTCTTATATTTGTCTTTCAGAGGAGATGAGAGGTGAAATAACTCAAGATGCCTGCATGTGTGAAGCTCAAATTTTGTTCCAGAAAAAAGTGCAGTCAACCATTCAGGAGCTGAGCAGAAGACATATCCTTTTCCCAACCCCAGGCGGGTCCACAAACTGAATTTGCTACTAAGATTGTAAAACTGCGAAATTATGAGATGATTTCATATTGTGTTTTTAAAACACTGTTGCAGGAACAGCTTGGATAGATGCAGTAATCAGTTTGTCTCTTACTTTTAATGGCCGTAAGTTGAAGCTGATTCTAACCTTTAAATCTGTTGATTCATAATAAATCTATGGCTAGTGTCACAATATCAACCACACTATTACAATTCTGTTTCCTTAACTATCTGCTTACTGGATGAGCTTTCAGACAAAGTGAACCTGATTGAGGGCCAACAGCAATATTAGAAACAACAATGCCATCTGAAGACATTTTCCGGACATCCAATTTTCTCGACCAGCGGAATTCATCTGTGACCTACAAATGTCTTAATATTTGACTGAAAATGTGCGTAGTATTCATTTCTCATCCAGTGAACTGGTGGCAGCAGCGTTGTTTAATATCATAAAACTGTAATCTTACATTCACAACACAGTAGGTAGTTTCTTCTTACAGTAAAGTCAGGTGTAACTGGTGTAAAGGGGTACATGTGCTTGCATAATTAAAAGAAAAACAACATTCCCTGCTAACAGTTACAGTCATTGAGTTCAGATTAAAATTATGTAAGATAATTAAGGAATTTACAGAACAAAATATTTATTTGGAATTAACATGTTAAAAGTTCAGTCTATGCTTTCATAAATATTGTTTAAATTATTTTTAGAGGAAAACATTTTGTATCACGTTCTTGTTGTGTATTCAGTACTTTTGGAGTATTTCTGGAGCCATGTAGTATAGGGTTCTTAGCAGAACACAAAGTCTCCATCCACAGTATAATACAACAACTAATCTCTTATGCAACAAGCGCACTGTTTGTGTTGTTGCAGTCTTAGCTTGTAGAAAAGATCAAAATATACTCTGATCCAAATGGCCCAGGGTATATTAAATCACAGGGCATTACTATAATCCTTTTCTTTGATACACAAAATATTTTTTTTTGTAACAGACAGGTACAGTTATTTAGGGGAAGACTACATACAGTTTAGAAAGTTAAAGGTTGACTGGACTGCTTCAGTACTTTGCACACGTGAAAAGTCTTTTTCTTTCTGGCAGCAGTCCAAATTTCAATTCAAGGTTCTGGAAACATGACACTGTGTTTTCCTCATACAATACACATGTACTGTATACTCTTCTTTCATACAGCCGTGGTGTAAACTGACAGTAATGTGCATGATGTATTGTGGTACTTTTGTGATACATAACAACTTGTCTGTATATTTTCTACTGCGTATGTAGCGACAAATAAATATTCTAAAACCATGGATCCTGTTTGTCCTCTGTATTGTGTGTTTGCCCTGTTGATTAAGAAGCATCTTTAAAAACATTCAAATTATAATTCACAGTTTGATCAATTAAAAAATACAGCTCTGAATAAGTCAGCCACGAATGAAACACAATATATCTTCATTGGTTTGCTTAGTGGAGATTTGTTTGGCTTTCAGTTGATCAGTTATGTGGTGGGACAATAGTTTTCGTCAATTAAAGCGGTTTTCTCGAAATCACGACAACTACTGTGCCAAATAAAAACCAAATAAACAGCTCAAATAAATAAGGAGGCCTATTTGCGGTCTCTCCTGAGAGCTAACACTAAAAACTACAAGTACCAGGTACGCCCAAACTCTACACTTCCGGTTTTTGGTTACCACGGGAGACCGAGGGAAGCTCCAGCCTCTGAGCCTTGAAGTCTGCTAACAAAAGCGATGAAACGTGGAATTTGAACGCTTTCCAAAACGTTTGCAAGTTGTATTTTCCTATAATTGTAGTCGGCCTTTAAATTTGCGAGGTTATAAAATCATGAGCGTCTTCGGCTCTACGTAACTGTATCATTAGGCTCTGAACGTCAACTGCTAACTAGCTAAGCTAACGCTGTAGGCTAACTTTACCATATCGAGGCCGCTTGGTGTCGACAGAAAATGTTAGCTCGCTTTGGCTTCTCAGTTTGCTAACCGGCGGTAGGCTGGTGTGTTGTTATGCTAAACAGAATAACTACGCTTCATTTGACTGACAGACGTCTGTAAACGTTATCACCAGCATCATGTTTATCTACCTCAGCAAGAAGGTGAGAGCTCAGCAAACACCCATCAACGTGTCAGCTAAGTCGTAGTGTTGGTCAACAATGTGACTGTTATCTGTGTTTTATAGATCGCTATTCCCAACAATATCCATCTAAAATGTGTCTCCTGGAACAAAGATCAAGGCTTCATCGCCTGTGGAGGAGACGATGGTCTCCTGAGAGTGCTGAAGCTTGAAACTCAGACAGGTTTGTTGGTGCGGTCGTCATGAATTCCAATACAACTGTAGGCTGTATGATTTCTGCATTAAAATGAAAACCTAAATACTCTCAAAAGCACAGTAAACCCATTTCATGGCCAATGCAGTGTCACATCACCTTCATCTGCTGCCTTTAACTACTGTTGACTCTTAAACAGATGAGTGCTGGGGGGCCTGTTTTCAGCTGCTTTGCACTAGTAAAGTTTTGTTGCTGATTTTTAAATATTCCACTTCAGCCAGAATAACATTGAATTCTTCAGTGAAATTAGACTGTGAAAAATGGTTTAAAAAATGTGTTTGCATTGAACATCAAACATGCACTACTTTCGGCCATGTGTCCAAAGTGTATTTATTCCGTTCAGACCTGTTACATAATGCTCAGGTGATTTAGATTTGAGGGTTTGTGAGATGGCTGCTCTTACAGTGTGAAGGAAATCTTTTGAAAATGTTCATAAGCCTCATTACTGGTGCCACTATGTACAATCACTATTAGCAGAAATGATACCAGTTTGCCCTTTCTGTGTGTTAGAAAGACCTGCCGTGGTAACTATGATAAACAAGATGGGTGCTGGCCTTAAAATGTATTCATAAGTTTACTCACTGAGGATTGTATGACTGTGTTTGTGTTCTGATTTCTTTCTACGGTCCTTGTCAACAGATGATGCCAAACTCAAAGGTCTTGCTGCACCCAGTAACCTATCGATGAACCAGACGCTAGAGGGACACAGTGGTAAGCTGAATTGAATCTTTGTCAAACCTGTTTTCATTATAGGATGTTAGTAACAGGCAGTGTCCACAAAACAGAAACTGAGTGCGCAGACCTAAAGTAAGCCAAAGGAGAATGATCTAACACTTTATGATTACCATACGTGCAGGTGCAGTGCAAGTGGTCACGTGGAACGAACAATATGAAAAGCTGACAACCAGTGACCAGAATGGACTCATCATTGTATGGATGCTTTACAAAGGTGACTACAGGAGTCATACTCTAATACAGGTTGCTTTGTAATGAATGTGTCTTTTATAACAGTTGTCTTTGTTTGTCCCGTCCTAAGGTGCATGGTATGAGGAGATGATCAACAACAGGAACAAGTCAGTGGTGAGGAGCATGAGCTGGAACGCTGATGGTCAAAAGATCTGCATTGTGTATGAAGATGGGGCTGTCATTGTTGGATCTGTAGATGGTAAGCTGCTTTACAATATATATTTTTTTCACTAAATTCCAAATGGTTTTGTTCACATTCTGGGCAAGCAGATATGAATATGTACAGTAGGATAATTGGCTTGTTTTTGTAGGAAACCGGATTTGGGGAAAGGAGCTAAAGGGAAGTCAGCTGGCTCATGTGGCATGGTCTCCAGACAGCAAGATCCTTCTCTTCGGCATGGCCAATGGAGAAGTACAAATCTATGACAATCAAGGAAACTTCATAGTGAGTTTATGAGCTTAAGTTATAGCTTGTAGGTTTGCTGGGCACTTCAGGCACAGAAATGGTGGGTTTGGGAAGAACTATAATAGGACAAACTATCTCAACTGAAAGCTATGATCCTGTCTGTGGTTTACAAATAACTGTGGATACCAGCCCCTGCTGTGTGAGGAAGATCTGAACATTTCTGACTTTATAGATTTTGAAACTAAATCATCACTGCTATATATTTCTGCCATGCATCCACAAGTAAAAGGAAATGAATAGCAATTTGACTGGTGCTTATTGATTATACATCAGTATGTGTGATTTGTTATAAATTGTTTCATGTTTCAGATGAAAATGACCATCAGCTGTCTCAGTAATGCGACTGGAGCTGTGAGTATAGCAGGTATCCACTGGTATGCAGGAACCGGGGGTTACGTCGAGCCCGACTGCCCATGTCTTGCGATCTGTTTCGACAATGGAAGATGCCAGATCATGCGTTATGAGAATGATGAAAGTAAGCAACCAAAAATCCTTCAAACATTGCTGTGTGGTTTCTTATTTATACTCATTTGCTACATAACACTTAATATTTGCTAATGCTGTGACTCTGTGCTGCTGCTTTTTCTGCAGACCCAGTGTGTATTGACACTTTGATGAATGTGGTCAGCATCCAGTGGAACCATTGTGGCAGTGTGCTGGCAGTGGCAGGTTCCCTCAGAGCCTCAAATATGGAGAAAGAGTTCAACGTGGTGCAGTTCTACACGCCATTTGGAGAGGTGAGGGTGAACTTTAATAGTTAGATTTATGCCACATGTCACTATTATATAGTCTAGGCTGTGTACTATTGACATTTGTATGTCAATACTACTATTGACATGTATGTATGTTGGCACCTGAGGTTTGAAAGAAAGAAATCTCAGCACACTGCGAAATAGTTGTTGAGCTTTATAGCTGCAAACTGATCTTCAGGCAAAATTCACTGTTTGGGCTGAAGAATATGATGTGTTGTTGTGATTTGTATATATCTGAGGAATCTTATGTTATGACTCACAGCATATGTTACAGCATAAATCTGCCTGGACATATTTTGTAAGTGGGGCTGTTTAGTACAAATCAGTAATCCTCACAGTAATCTGCTAAACTGCAACAACAACACAACTTCATGTCCAAGGAAAGTGCACATGATAAATCTGCTGATAAATCTAAATTTTGCTGTGCAGGTACAAACAAAAAGACACACTATACCTGACTAGTTTGTCCTTTATGGTCTCTTTCTCACCAAAAAATGCACACCCATTTCCTTCAGTAAGCTAGCTCTATGTGGGCCTAAGTGAAGGCTGATCCCAAGACAAGATAATACAATATCACGGTAATTCTAAAGAAACTGAATACAATTTTAGCTACTCAAGAGATCAAGAAGACTTGATTTTGCAGCCATGGCAATACTGTATCTAACAACCTTACAATCCTAAATCCCACACTAACCCCAGCTGGGCTCTCAAAATGCTGTGGGATGGTTAAAAATGTGAAATTGTGCATTGTTAATGATCTTCTGTGTTTACACAGCATCTAAGAACTCTCAAAGTGCCTGGGAAGCAGATGTCAGGAGTTGCCTGGGAGGGAGGAGGGCTGCGAATCGGCCTGGCTGTGGACTCCTACATCTATTTTGCCAACATTAGGCCAGATTATAAGGTAAATGCCAACACCCGTGACTCATGCTGCCCAAGGAGCAGCACTCTTTACTCCAATCAGAGATACTTCAGGGAAAAGAAACAATCTTTACATTTTTTAGATAAACCCTTGAGAATGTTAAAACGTATTGTCCAGCTGAAAATATGCAGTATTCATCAGGGCGGATTAACAGGTCGTCACATCAATTCGACCCACTAGCCTAAAATAACTCCTTGCAGCAGTTTCACAGTTACACACAGTGCATACATCTGTGAGTGTGTGTTGCTTTTGTTAATGCCAGACTTCATCTATAGTAGAAGTTCACCTACTAAGTATTTTTGGGGTTTCATAAAACAATTGTAGAAACAAGTCAGAAAGGAAGCCTAATAAAGTTTTGTCAATCTAATTTCTTGTCAGTTTGAGGTAGATCTGATTTTAGAGGTCAGGAACGAAACTGTCTGTGACTACATGCCTACCTCGGGGTTTAGGTGAATCTTACCAGCCTTGTCATGTCTCCTAACAGTGGGGCTACTGTTGCAGCACGGTGGTGTACGCCTACACAAAACCAGAGCGACAAGAATACTGTGTGGTATTCTGGGAAACCAAAAACAATGAGAAGTTTGTCAAATATGTCAAGAGCTTGATGTCAATCACCACATCTGGGGACTTCTGCATCCTGGCCAGCAAGGCAGACGACACCCAGCCTCAGGTACGAGCACTGACAGATTACACATCCTAACAGTGAGAGGATAGCCAAACAAAAGGATCTGTAATGTTTATGAAACATTGCAGACTGACTTGACGCATATGTTACTGCACTATGTGAATTTTCTATTGCTTTTTAAAAAATCTTACTCTACTGAGTAGCAGTGAAGAAATACAATAGGGAAGGTGATGTAAATAGTGAATATAGAGTGATCTGAAATAGCAAGGATCACAAATGTTTCTCTGCTGTCTTGCCTCCTGTTTTTCTAATGCATTGCCTCACAGGAGGATGCTGAGTTAGAGTCTGGGAGTCATGCAAGGGTAACGTACAATTTAAAACCTCACACCCCAAAAGAGGACTATCTGTTTTGACACAGAGTTATGCTTTGACCTTCAGAATAATGTCGCTCTGCTGTGTGTTTTTCAGTATGTCCTGATTCTGTGCAACTCCATCGGAACTCCACTGGACTCAAAATACATTGAGATTGGTAAGTGAAGTGAAGAGAGAAAAATCAACCTTGTAATGCCTCTGTTTAATGGGAAGTTCCTTATATTGTGTGTGCCCTGCAAACTCACATACAATAAACATGGTAGCAATCTTGTGGAGCAGCAGTGGAATGATCAAAGTCCAGGTTTAGCATAAGGTTGGTGTATTTCTTCACACCAGTGTGAGAGATCACACCATGTGTATGGAGACGTTGTAGCTGGCATCCTGCCTCCTGCTACCCAGTTACTTCATGAGCTTACAGTTTCCTATAGCAGTGAGTACTTGGCGTCTTTATGTCGCGTAGTCATTCAGCATTCTGTTTCTACTAGACGTGGTCACAGGTTTAACAGACTCAGTGGTCTGGACAGACTTCAGATATCCCAGCTTGGTAAATGGTGAAAGGGTGAAGTGTGTGCCATTTGGAGGTGGCTCCTCTTGTGGCCTTTTTGTGTTCAAACAGGCAAAGTCACACTGTTTGAGAACACCCTGTATTTTTCTCTCAGAACTGGTGTGTTAGAAATTACCCACACAGAAAATATGTTTCTCATTTAAAGGTACAGACCAGATTTACAATGACTCACAAATGTTATTTTTCCAGATTTGTTTAAGTAGTTTGGTGTAGCTCACTGTAAGACAATAAACTGTATTTTGTGTTTTGTTTCAATAACCAACCAAATACAATATACACCTTAATAAAACCAGCTGAAAGTTTTAAAATCCTTTGGTGATCCTCTGTGCTTGGAAGCCAAAAGCTGAGCACACACTTCATCCGTAAAATGACAGAAATATGAAGTTCGTGAAAATAAATTTGGTACCAATGGACACAAAAAATATACACAGTCTATACTGATATTTGTAATTAAATCTGCCACTTGTTTATTTGTTCAGATCCCATGTTTGTCACCATGACCAAGACGCATGTCATCGCTGCATCCAAAGAAGCTTTCTACTTGTGGCAATACAGAGTGGCAAAGAAACTGACTGCCCTGGAGATCAACCAAGTGAACAGAACAAAAAAGGAGGGACGGGAAAGGTGAGTTTTTTCAGAAATATGTAGAATATTTACAACAGAGTGAAACTTCATCTAAACTGGATCTCACAAGTTATTTTAAAAAAGGCATGTTGCAGACAAGCAGAAGATGAGTAGGGAGATAGATTGCCGATGTCAGGACCTACAGGGCACATCAAGCAGATCATGGAAAGTTACAGGAAGGTAAGATCACCACAGTGCTAGATTCTATGAGTCAGTGGATGAAGCCTCAGGTTTGTTGACTCACTGTTACAGTGACTCACTGTTACACTGACAGCACAATGAAAGGGATTCGTTCATCTAAATCAAATGCCACTGAGGTTCCAGACAGGCTGGGAATGACCCAGTGTTCTGCCAGGACCATCCTAGCACCTGGACCACAGGTCAACTTGGGGCAACAAGCAGCTGTTTGTCTGTCTGCCTGTCCCCCTCGTTCTTTCACACATGCTCTCACTTCCTGCCCCTCTAGGGTGTATCACATTGACAGCAATCCAACTGGAGGTGGGGACAGTGGTCCAGATTTTGCTAAAGCCTTCACAGTAAGAAGCTATATGATCTCTTGTCTTGCACATTTTACGCACAGAATCAAAAACCAAGTGCAGTAAAGCATGTGATTTTTTTAAAACAAATTCTTATTGTGTTTAGTTTGAACCCTTTTTCATATAATTGCATTCAAATAAAATGTCCTTCAGACAGGATATTGCTCACTCAACCAGTCATTTGTTTAAAAATCTAAGTCTCGAAATAAGTTTAACCAACTCTAAATATATTGATAAAATATTTGTAAAAATACAATATGTACAGTATGTGTATTTCTGTTTAATTTCAGGCCACTCGAGATCCAATCTGTTGCATTACAGCAACAGATAAGACCCTGATTGTGGTATGTATGCCTTTCTTTTTATAGGAGAATCTGAAATCATACAGTGAAATCAAGATTAAACTAAAAGTGTCTGTTCTTACAGGGTCGTGAGTCTGGTACCATCCACAGATACAGCCTTCCAAATGTTGTTCTCATCCAGAAATACACTTTGAACAACAGAGCCTATTATCTCTCCTTGAACTGCAATTCCAGGTAAACATTAGTCTCTGTTTTTGGTGTAGCAGATTGTGATAATGTAGAGACACTCTTTATCACCCCAATACAGTTTATTTAATGTGTTCTATTTTGAATTTATCCTGTAAACTGCTGTCACATGGAATCATTGTTTTCTTTAGTCGTCTTGCCATAATCGACATCGCAGGCGTGCTGACTTTGTTGGACCTGGAGGTTCGTGCCTCCACAGATGACAGCACAGGAAACCAGACATCTGCAGGAGATCCATCTAAGTTTGAGCGCAAAGATGTCTGGGACATGAAGTGGGCGAATGACAACCCCGACTTGTTTGCCATGATGGAGAAGACCAGGATGTACGTCTTTAGGAACCTGGACCCAGAGGTGATCTATAAGTACATCTGATTTACAGCTGAAAATTCAACTGTATTGTAATATTGTTACAAAGTTAACAATTCTTCAATCCGAGTTAAACTGTTGCAGTTATTTATTGTGTTTTAAAAAAACAGGAACCCATCCAAACATCTGGATACATCTGCAACTTTGAGGACCTGGAAATCAAATCTGTCTTGCTTGATGAAATCATGAAGGTAAAGGTTTGAGTAAAGTTGTTCTGTAGTTACATGATGCTCAGACACAATTGCACTGATATTTAAAAATTACCAATTACTTTAATGTCAGTATACCTATTTTATTAGCTTTATTATTCCGTTTTCCTTTTTCCTTTTTTTAAATCTCTTAAAGTAGAAGGACTTACAGTAGTTTAAGAATTATGTTGACATACATGTTACTTCTACGTTGATTATCCCTCAACAGGTGAAAGCAAAATGCTAATTGATCACTTTATCAAGGAATGTTGTTTTCCAGGATCCAGAGAGGCCAAACAAAGACAACCTCATCAACTTTGAAATCCGCTCTCTGAGAGACAGTCGCACACTGATTGAAAAAGTGGGCATTGAAGATGCTTCACAATTCATTGAAGACAATCCTCACCCAAGACTCTGGTAAATCCAAAATGTGCTACCTATGCTTATGATTCAGCATTGGATTTTTATTTTTTATTTTTCTTATTTTTTAAGTTGTTTTGTCCATGTCATCAATTTTTACTGATCACTGCTGCTGTTGTATGTTGTCTAGCTGATGTGTCAGTTCTTGCAGGATCCCTCAAAATCTGGCAACATGAACACAAAGGCTCTTCCTGTTCTCATCAGCAGACACAGTTGCTGTCATAAAGATAGCTTTTACACTCACTTAAGACTGTTATAAAGTCTTAGAAATATTGAGATTTGTCCATTCCAGTTTGTCTAAATTAAACAGACTGGGTGTAGTGATATATGCATACACATCATGCCATACAGCATTGGTGATAATAGCTAACCGCTCTCTCTATTTGTCTCTGTTATGAACCCATCAGGCGACTGCTGGCTGAGGCAGCCCTCCAGAAACTGGATCTGAAGACAGCTGAGCAGGCCTTTGTCCGCTGCAAGGACTACCAGGGCATTGAGTTTGTCAAGCGCCTGGGCAACCTGCAGAGTGAGCCCATGAAACAAGCAGAAGTGGCAGCTTACTTTGGCAGGTTTGAGGAAGCTGACCGCATGTACCTGGACATGGATCGCAGGTACAGTGAGCCGCATAATTTTTTTTAAAAATAACATTCATCTTATAGTATGAATCAGTTCTTTAGACAAGGTGGTGGACAACGAATATGTGTATCTCTGTAGGGACCTCGCCATCAGCCTCCGGATCAAGCTGGGAGACTGGTTCAAGGTGCTGCAGCTACTCAAAACTGGTTCTGGGGACTGTGATGATGCCCTGCTCGAACAGGCCTACAATGCAATCGGAGACTACTTTGCAGATAGACAAAAGTGGTATTGAATTTTTGTTGACCTCTTTCTTTCTCTGGTTGCCATATATAGTATAGGAAAAACAGCAATATATCCACAAGAAATCTCGTGCTTTTACTATTTAATGCTGCCACATCCATGTCCTCATACTAGTGTCACTTTCAAAGATATTTTTGCACAGAACAGGCTGTGTATTTCATCCACCTATCACTTACATTGGAAGAGTATTAGGGAGCAATCACCTCACAGCTAGAGTAGATGGGGAGAACCAGTTATGGGAATGTGACTGTTCTAAAACAAACAAAAAATGTAACCTTCAATCAAGGAAACACAGTCTCACTGTAACTGTTAAATATGATCTTCTTCTTCAAGGGTCAACGCAGTGCAGTACTATCTTCAGGGCCGTAACCAGGAGAGGCTGGCAGAGTGCTACTACATGTTAGAGGACTATGATGGCCTTGAAAAGCTCACTGCTCTTCTGCCAGAGAATCACAAACTGTTACCGGTAAGCCAGATGTTCAGGTTTTACCAAACATTATATTGCTTTCAAGGCTCCATGACATCAATGAGTCTTTAGCCCTAAATAAATCCCTCTCTTCTATTCCTGTTCTCACGTCTTTATGTTGCAGGAGATTGGACAGATGTTTGCCACCGTGGGCATGTGCGAACAGGCTGTGAACGCCTACCTTAAGTGCAACCAACCCAAAGCTGCCGTTGACACATGTGTCCATCTGAACCAGGTGAGAGGCAGACAGAAAACTCGTGGCGCCAGAGTTTCTGAGCGGCACTCTGAACCCACACATCCTTCCCTCAGTGATCTTTAGATTCAACACACAGTCTGACTGCTTTGGAGCAGAGCAGTCAGTGTGGCACCTGCTGTCCTCCCACTCCCTCCTTTTCCTGAGTGATATTTAGCTCCGGAGTGTGAATACCGCCCTCAAACTACGCTCCTCCAATGTAAATGTCAACATTTGGAGAAAAAAAAGTTTAACTGTTCTTTGTTCAGGATGTACTTGAAAGAAAGAACAAAGGTTCAATTTCCTAATAACATAAGCTGTGATGTTTGTACTTGTTGCAAATGTTTCACAGCTAACTTTAGTTATTTTTCGAGCCACAAAGAGATTTAAGTAAAAACTGATTTTTCCTGCAAACTAAAGTCGTGTAAATATTGCATATGCAGTGTTGACTTTTCTGATTGTTATTTCAGATGCTTTGGAAAAATACTGTGTTTAAAAAAGCTACAAGAAAAAGCAATGACTTTGAAATTTTGTAATGACTGTTCTCCCACAGTGGAACAAAGCAGTGGAACTCGCCAGGACGCACAACATGAAGGAGATCAAATCTCTTCTTTCCAAATATGCTTCACATCTTCTTGAGAAGAATAAAACTCTGGAGGCGGTGGAACTCTATCGGAAAGCTCACCACTTTCTTGATGCAGCCAAACTCATGTTTAAGGTAGGCTTATGTTACTTATGACAAGCGTAATGAAAAGAAAAAGGGTTTTGTCACTTATATAGTCAGACAAAGAGATCAGTGATATAACTGAAATTGGAACTGAACTAAAATTAGCAGCCGATAACTTCTCATGGGATCTACATCCTACAGCTCTGGATCAAATATCTGTTTAGTGATGAAGTTTTGAAATGTGGCCCTCGGATCTAAATGTAATCATTTCTTGATTCCTTTTAAGCCTTACTAATCTCATTTTTCAAAGGATTGGGGTAAAATTTGTATCAAACATCCTTGAAAGCTTAAAGATAATTAGCAAGTAAAAAGTTGTTGCTATTTTTTTACAGTAAACAAATTGAAACAATAAATAATTTTCTTCCCAAGTGAACAACCTTGTATCGATGCTTAGGAAAGCTGACCACTTTACTTTTTTGACATATTTTGATGTAGTTTTAACTTCAAATGAATGAAATTGCCATTTTCCTCCCCATTTTTTTCTGTCAATCTACTTTTAATACACAATAGCAATATTTATTGCTATTATATATATTCATTTACAAAAGTATTGAGACTCTTTCCTGTGGGTCCGAATTGTGGTCAGATGTGTCATGTTTCCTTTACTTGTACTTTGTAGGACTCCACGATCAAACTTTGATGAGGCACAGATCAGAGCAAAGCTATAAATCATTTCTGAAGGTTTGACTTAAAGATGTTCCAATTAAGGCTTTTCACCCCCAATTCAATCCAATTCGAGTCATTTAATATTTAGTATATGCTGATACCAAGGCCCAATCCAATACCGTCTTTCTAGATAATACACACTTTAAGAGTTGTAAATTAGCTGTAGCACCTTGTAACTCCAAATAGACATACTGTGGTGACCTGAGGAAGCACACAGTTCCATGTTAGGAAGCATTGAGCACTGTGGGAGTTTAGCTAGTACAGGAGTACCATAACAAAGTCTTCTCTGAAGCTTAATGACCTCCCACCAACACACATCTGTGGTCAACGGTTGGCCATCTCAGCTTCATCCTATTGATCAGGTGCTTATGGCCGAGTAGTTGAATGGAAACCGCTCAAGAGTAAGGCATGTGGCAGTCCTCAAGGAGTTTGTCAACCTGCACTTTAATGGACTCTGAGAGCAAGAGGAAGAAGACTCTTTGACCCGATGAAACAAAAACTGAGCTCTCTGGGCAGAAATCCAAGCACTCAATAAATCGAAGCTCTATCTGCTGCCAAAAGAGCCTTACAAAGTGCTGAATTAAGGGTGTGAACACTTTGGAAAATGTCAGATTTCAGTTTTTAACTTTTAATAAGTTTGCAAACATTTTTAAAAACACGTTATCACTTCGATCGTGATGGGTCATTGAATGTAGACTGATGGGGGGGAAATTTGGTTTACAATGCAACAAAGTGGGCAAGAAGTGCAACGGTGGCTCTTGCTTTGCAGATAGCCGATGAGGAGGCGAAGAAAAGGACCCGACCTCTGAGGGTGAAGAAGCTCTACGTACTGGCAGCACATCTTGTTGAAAATTACCATGAGCAGGTGAAGACGTCTCAGCAGAGCAAAGCCAAAGGAAAGAAGTCTGAGGTAATATACTGCAGAGGACGTTACTGTATACGTATACACTTCCTGTTCTGTATGTATCTAATAGTTAAAATTATCTTTAGTTGAAGCTTTCAGATCTGGTTTATGGAGTATTTTAGAAATACAAATTGCGCTTTAAATGTATAGAAAAGCATCATTTACTGTATATAATATTGTATGTATCATTTACTGTAAATAGGCAACGTTTGCACTTGCTGGGCTGCTTGAGGAAGATGCAACATCTTCAGACAATCGTATTGTGGACAACGCTTGGCGTGGAGCAGAAGCGTACCACTTCTTCCTGCTTGCTCAAAGGCAGCTGTATGAAGGCTACATGGAGAATGCCATGCGCACAGGTATCGAGTCACACAGGATATGTCAGTGCATCATTAAGTCACATAAAGTATATTGTAGTGCTGAAATGATTAGTAGTGATTTATGTGTCAGTCTTCAAAGAACCAGCTGCTAACAATTCTGATCTTCACATACTTGTCAGTTTTCCTTCACGAGATTCAAAATAATCTGCTTTTCGGTTTTGAACCATGTAAAATGAACATGTTTGGGTTTTGTACTGTTGATCAGACAAAACGCTCTGGGAAATTGTGATACATCTATTGGTCACCAGTTCAGACAACAAATTCTTTCAAATAAACATTAAAAAAAAGAGATTTTGAACTTATTGTTTAGTTCTGATCTTGTGTTTATATTCCTGTACTCATCTGTTACAATATGTGTAAACAACAATATGTCGTCATCCAATTTAATTAAATACTATAATATGTCATATACTGTTTGCAAATACACGATAAAATCACCAGTCATTAGATCAATCTTCCTGCCAGGTAAAAGTAGAGAAAGTACCTGAACACACCTGAGAAATGACAGTATGGACCCTGGCTCTGATTTATTTTAGCATTCTGCTGCCATCTAGTGTTCGTAAAGTGCATGAAGTCCAAAGGTGCTCAGCTTTTGTAGTTTTTCCACATAATTTTGATAGTTTTATATCTTTGGTCTTTAATATTTATCAATAAGCAGTAATGAGACCTAAGTCACATGATCTGTCTTTTCTTCTTCAATAGTCATTTTATAACTGAAACTGTCGGAAGTGAAGTTATCTTCCAGTCCAGAATCAGCCAGACAGGAAGTCTAACTTTGCACTGTTTATCCCATTTTTAAAGCTCTTCACCTGCGCGAGTATGAGGACGTCATCCCTGCAGTGGAGATCTACTCTCTGCTCGCCATTTGCTCCGCAGCCAACCGGGCCTTCGGCACCTGCTCACAGGCCTTCATCAAACTGGAATCCTTGGAGAGTCTGGACCCTGAACAGCGACAGCTATATGAGGATCTGGCCCTGGAAATCTTCACCAAACACACCCCGAAAGACAGCCGCATGCTGGAGCTGGACCGGTCGTCAGAGGGGTGAGGGCTACACTAACCCCACACTGGCTCCAGTTCCTAAAGCTGCACAACTACACTGTCATGTTTTGGGGGTCTTTCACAAAAATAGTTTTCAGCACTTCAGCAAAGTTTGCTTTCTTAATAGATTTGGGCGTGTCATTTGTATGTGTGCTCAGGGGCTGTTTAATTTAGCTTTGCCAAGAAGATGAATATCAATAGAGAGATAAAGCAATTTCACAATTTACCAAACTTTCAAACTGCATGGGGAGAAGCAGTGAGGACATCTTGATTTTTGTCAAGATGAGAAATAAAACTGTTAAATTCTCCTTGTATATGGCCAAATATATTTGTCCATGTATATTTGAACTGTGAATTATGTTGTATGAAGCATTCTTCTTCTCGGGACTACAAACAAATTTAACCAACATTACTCTAGGCTTATACAAGCTGTGTCAGAAAAGTTTCTGGACTGGTGTCAGATATATTTCAAACACAAGCTACAGGTTTTCTCGCCTTCAAAGTAACCCCCCTGGAGGCACTTTCCCAGCCTTCTCTGCCACGCCACCATGCACTCCATCTTAATGTCGTCCACATCTTCAAAACGGGTCCCCTTGATGACCCCCTTGAGCTTGGGGAAGAAGAAAAAAAGGGAAGTTGCTCCAGCAAGGTGATGTTCTTCTCAGCTAGGAACTGTCGGATGCTCAGGGCATTGTGAGCAGGCCCGTTGTCATGATGAAGCAGCCACGACTTGTCCTGCCACAACTCTCGCCTCCTCTCGCTCATTGAACGAAGCAAACGCCGCAGGATCTCTTGGTAGACGTGCTGGTTGATCGTCTGAAGGGGAAAACTGGTAGTTTGCCATTTGGGTTTGAAATATATCTTTTGTGACACCAGTCCTGGAACTTTTCTGACATGCCTCGTACACATATAATCAGCACATCAGTGACGCTTTTTCTAAAAATTTTTGCAACATAGGCACCTAAATGTCTTGTTTTCCACAAATGACTTAAAAACAAATATTTATATCAGTTGTACAAAATGTTAATTATATCACTTTCCCGAAATTACTACAAATATTCAAAAAGCAATGAATTGTTAGAATGGAGACAGTTTGGCGTATGTGCACATGTAACCATCAAACCACTGTTTGGAAGCTCCTTTTACTGCATTTTTAAAGTTGCCTCAAAAATTTTCTGAAAGATTTCAGTCAATTCTGTTTGTCCCTTTTTTTAGGACGGAGGGAAAATTACCCACATGCATCGTGACAGGTCTGCAGATCCAGGAGTACCAGTTTTGGATGTGCAGTGTATGCAAACACTGCGCTCTGGAGCAGGAGATCAGCAAATACAACTGCTGCCCGCTGTGCCACAGTTCTGTAGCGTGAAGCCCAAAACCTCAAGTTTCATAAGAACAATTCACTAAAACTGAAAAGTAATATTTCAAAGTATGTTTTGTGTGTTTGCAAAGTGAAGTACTTGTGGAGGTGGCTGCACCTTGTTTCATGCTAAAAGGTGCATATATAGTGTGTATAGGACATATTGTGTTCAACTAGCTTCAATTCATGTATCTGTAGTAATTTACTTAAATGTATTGCTTTTTTCTTAAATGTTGTAAAATACCTCAATGAATACAACTGCTTTCTAACTATTTTTACATTGAAGTCAACGGTAAATAAACGTATATATTATAAATGTGGACTCACTGTTTTGTTTTATTTTTCTTTCTTTTAGTGTCGTGGTGTTGTGCTGCATTGTTGACAACTGCATGTGATGTAGGAATGACATCATGGCTAGCAGCACATTTTCAGCAACAGGAGCGTGATTAGGTTCATTTTGTCTACTCTGATTACAGGTATACGGTTTCTTTTTTTTATCAGACAATGAGTATTTTTAAGTAGGAGCTGTTTTTACCTTGACATGTTTCGACTGTCACTTCAGTCTTCCTCAGGTTGGAACTTTCAGTCCATCCACACATCATCAGCAGTGTTTACTGAGAACATTACTTGAGAAAAGTGATTAAAAACTAAGTGGACAATTACTGGTATCTTACATTAACTACATCCAGCCAGGTGAAATCCCTTCTGTGATGCCTTGTCGTCTCTCGAGGTCAGTTTGGTAGACGACGAGGACACGGATCAAAAGTAAACACTGCTTCTGTTGTGGGTTTAGTTCTTGGTACATGTAAGGATGGAACTTACCAGGGAACATGTTTCAGCTGAATTCAGATGGTTGTCAGAAAAATCTGACCATCAACATTATTTGTGTTAAATAATTCAAACAACACCGGCAGTAGCAGAAAATACTAATTTTGATGTTTAAACCACCAGGGCTTCTCTACTGCAGGCTATATGGAGGAGACAGTTTGTGCAACTTTTCTTCTGACATCTACTGTCAGAGAATTACAGCAATGAGAAGAAAACAATCAGTGCTAAAAGGTGTTTCTCAGTTTGTGTTCTGTTCTTCATATTTTATTTCATTATTTAGGTGGGACTCTACCACTAGTATAGACTGGCGACCTGTCCAGGGTGTCCCCTGCCTTCGCCCTAAGTCAGCTGGTATAGGCTTCAATGCCCCCTAGTGAGGATTAAGTGGTGTATAGATACTGGATGGATGTTCCACTAATTCTGCTCAACTGATATCACTGATGCTCATAATGACTCCTAAATTAAGTCACGACAGCTTTATTCATAATGACTTTGTTATCAGTCACATGAATCAATGATTGCTTTACCTTGGCTTGGATGCCTTTTATTGAAACTTGGATGAGGAGCTGCAGGGTTTCATCACTATTTTCACTGAGGCTCTTCGCTTATAAAAGATGCCCTTTGTATTACTGCCCCCCTGTCTGCAGTTAGGTTTTTTTTTTTTTTAAAAAGAACTTTTCAAACCTGTCTCACTCTGCTAGCTGTATGCCCGCCATCTATCCAAACAATACCAATACATAAATGTTTGAATGTGCACGTCTGTGATCCCCAGCAGCCACTAACTTTTTTAACACTATTGAGTGGGTTAACTCTTAACAACCTTATCATTTATGCAGCTTCCACAGCTCTCCCGTGCACTTTTAATCCCTTCTGCTGCCTGTGCATGTTGTCCAACACATTCATTCAACAGTGTGACTTTGGTATCTGACAGGTCTACCTGAAAATTTAATCAGAGTCCTATAATCTGTGAATAATGTTGGAAGACAAATGTTTAAATAAATTAAAATGGCCCCATAATTATTATGTTATACCCGAGAACTAATGCTGTATTTATTAGATATATGTTAAGCAATATATTTTTTAAATCAAGAACAGCAGTAGGCACATATGCATCCATAGAAATCCATGTCGTAATAGTTATAGACTGTATGTTTTCTTTAAGATGCAGAGATACTGAGGCAGAAAACCAGCCACACCCAAAAGGTAGTTATTTTATCTTGATCTGTTACTCTTTCTTTTTTTTTTTTTTTTACAAGCTTCTTCTGAAACATGTTCAAAAGGTGTCTATCATTTCCCAGTATTTCTTCTGGCAGATCAGTCACATATATTAACACACACGTCAAATGGATCTGCAGCCAGAATTTGCTGTCATCCTTTGGATATTCTCCCAAAATACTTAGAATCATTCGCCAAGTGCATCCCCACAGCTCCTCCAGCATGTCCGCCTTAAAGATGTTACATAATAATGAGCAGGGTTTGTCCAACAAGAGTCTCACCACTAAGCAGAACAACAGGTAAAGGAAAACAGTCTGTTGAAGATTATTTCATCATATAAATATTTTCCCATCTTGCTGTAATGTAATTTCTGGAAGTTCTTCTGCTCTTTGTATTTTTCTTTTGGTATCTAAAAACCTTTGTAATGTGTTCTTTTCTATTTAATCCATTGCTTAAACCTAGTGTCTATATTTTTTTTTAAATGCTGCCACAAGTTTCCTAACATGAAACCAGGTCAACAAAACAGAGGGATTCAAATTGTCTTGATAACTTCTGATCCTCAGTCATTGTTTGTACTGGATACCTGAACATACCCTGACTCTCCATTTGGCTTCATATCACGCCAGACAAATATAGTTTATAACTGGACATAAAGATGATAATAAATGATAAGAGTGACATCCCACCTCTCTCCTTAACAATGGTCATTATATTTTAATCAATAGACTAGTGAGTGCATTAGAGAACAAAAGGAGCATAAAAAACACTCCCCTTCAACCTCCCATAAACATTGTTATGAATGAAAGACACAATAACCACAGAGAATAACTATACACTATATATATATGCAACATAACATGCAGGATAAGTTAAAAAATCTGACTAGTAAAATAAGACAATAATCAAAGAGTGAAGGGCTAAAAGACAGAATTATTATATAAAACAATAAAAATGCAAAGGGTTCATTTGATTTGAGACAAAAAAAAGGTAGCACAACACAATATCTGCACTAAAAACGACAATCAGCACTTAACCTACAGACTGGTTACATATTTAAAGTGATTAAATTATTCACCTTGAACAGTGGCGGCACTTTACGCATCACGCTGAAGTCCGTCCTGACAGGTCTGTTAGTGGAGACGATGCGCCAACCTGTGAGCCGCTGCGTCCTGCGCAGGACTCAGCCTCCGCAGGCTGCTCTGAGCTCCACAGGGCTCACTCTGGACTGAGCACAACACAACAGCACATGGCCAGGTAAGCTGCTGCACTCATTTCTCCTAGTTTGTGGATCATTGAGATGCGTGAACAGAAAATAATTCTCTTTCTGGGTCATTATGTTGTCCGCAGGCTGCAGGGCATTTTGTGTTTCCCACGGCCAGTTTCAGTTGCGCACGAAATATCAACACAGTACTTTTATTTTGTCCTGTCGTAAAGTTGTTTTTAGAGTGTGAGACACTTTAATTTCTGCAGAAATGTGTCAAATCTGACCTTGTTCTGCTGTTCACTGCTCTCTGAAACGCTATATTGCCGTGCGTAATGTAACACAATACAAGGAAGACAGAGGTGCTCGTTTTAGAGGAACAAGCAGGAGCGACAGCAGGTATTGATGACTGTTGGCCGACATGGAATTCACTGTTTGGACTAGTCAGACAATCATTACAGGTCGTAAAATATTAGAATTTAGTTTAATTAACCAGTTATACCACAAGTCCAAGGTTAGGTTCTATTGCATGTTTGCAAGTCTACTTTAAATAAGATAATAAAAATGTTAGTTCTGTGCAAATATATCAAATATGTGGTGCTTTCATAATGTGTAGTGCATGCAGCTTATGGCACAAATGCAACAAAATCTATTTTTCATGCCTAATGGACACATTTTTATCTCCACACTGTAAATAAAAAGTGCTGAGGAAGTGATGCTGACGTTCCGTTCCAGGGTGTCACAGACACCAAAATGCAACCGGATACTCGATGGCCCTGATGCAATGCTCTTCAATGTGGTCAAATGACATACAAGAAAGTGTAAGGTCAACTAATTACGGCGTGTTTGTGTGCAGGCAGCGACGCCTCTGAGATTTTCACCGGCGGCTTCACCATGGTGTACGGTCAGGTCCTTCACCAGCCCCAGGACTGCTTCATTAACGTCAACGTTGGAGGCTTCAAACAGCGAATGGACCACACTGTTCTGAAAAGGTTCCCTCAGACGCGCCTGAGTCGTCTTCTGTGTTGCAGCTCCAAAGAAGCCATCCTGGAGCTCTGCGATGACTTCAGTCCCTCTGACATGGAGTACTACTTTGACCGCAGCCCAAGGTTTTTCTGTTATGTTCTCAACTTTTACCTCACTGGGAAAATCCACCTGGTGGATGGCTTGTGTGTCGTCTCATTTATCCAAGAGATTGAGTATTGGGGCATCAAGGAACGTCACCTGGACTTCTGCTGTAGCAACAAATTCCATGAAATGATGGAGCTTGCTGATAATCAGCAGTGGGATCAGAGGAGCGACGAGGTGCAGCTCGAGAGTTTGGGTTCTTCTGTTGAGGAGCTGTCGATTTTGGAGGACGACACAGTGATGTTTGAAGGCACCTGGTGTGCAGATGTCCGCAGGAGTGTTTGGATTCGACTTGAGAATCCAGGTTTCTCCACTTCAGCCAAAGCGATGGCTGTAGTATCCCTCAGTGTGGTCCTCATGTCCATTATAGCCATGTGTGTGCACAGCATGCCAGACTTCCATCAGGTGGACCTCGATGAAAATGAGATTGAAAACCCCGTACTGACTGTCTTTGAGACCCTCTGCGTTCTGTTCTTTTCTGCTGAGTTTATTCTTCGTTTGGTTGTTGCACCATCGGCCAGGAAGTTCTTGAGCAGCCCTCTCAATATTATCGACTTATTGTCAATTCTGCCCTTCTACGTCACTGTAGTCTGTGATACAATGAACAAGGACGAGAACCCAGACCTGGAGAACGTCGGCAAAGTGGCGCAGATCTTGAGGTTGATGCGAGTGTTTCGAATTTTCAAACTGGCTCGTCATTCAGCTGGCCTTCGCTCTCTTGGTGCCACGCTGAGACACAGCTCTCGTGAAGTGGGGCTGCTGGTGCTGTTCTTGTCTGTGGGCATTTCCATGTTTTCTGCTCTCATTTACTTTGTAGAGAAAGAAACCAAAGAGTCGGAGCTGCAGAACATCCCCATTGGCTGGTGGTGGGCCACCATCAGCATGACCACAGTGGGCTACGGGGACACATTCCCCGTTACTCTGGCTGGGAAGCTGATAGGAACTTTGTGCATCATCTGTGGGCTGCTGATCGTGGCTCTGCCCATCACTAACATCTTCAATAAGTTCTCCAAGTTCTATCAGCGGCAAAAACACTTAGATCTCAAGCGAAACAATAACTGAACCCTCTCCAGTGAGTACAGCTCTGGTATAGGGGTCGACCGGTATGGCTTTTCCTGGACCGATGCCAATTAGTAGTAATCAAGGAGATCGATAACTTAGTAGTAGTAGTAATCCTACAATCTGGATTACTACAAGTGGATGAGAAGTGAAACGCCCTCAAGAACCTAAAAGAGAAATCCACTTGCTGCTAACTAAAGTTTTTAGGATTTGCAGTAAAAACTAAAATCTTGGTGTCAAAATTTACACTACGTCAAACTCCAGTGCAAAACTTTGTTAAAATGCCTTTTTTTATGTTTTACGTATGTTTAATCTGAACACCGCTCTTTGACTTTAATCCTTTAGTGTTGATTGGCTATTACTTGTGACATGTAACCAATCAGACAGTCCTGTGAGCATTACATTGCTGGAGAACACAGAGTGCTGACTGCAGAGAAAGAAAGGCGGCTTTTTAAATTCATTTATTGAATCAGGAATTGGTTTTTAAAAAGAACACAGATATTCAATAAACTGCTGAATATCGACTCCAGTAATCGGCCAGGTCGACCCCTCCTCTGTGCTAAAGAGTACCAGGTCCCAGCTCAAGAACTCTAACCTGTTCATCAATCACATCCCCTGGACGGCTGCACGAGCAGACACATGGAGCTTTCAGATGACAGTTAAATCAGGTTTGGTTCACCATTTTCTATAAGCAAGGTGAAAAAAACTAGCTGCCAAATAAAATGCATGGAAGTGACTTCAATAAATGGAGCTCGGTGGGTAAACAGGTTGTTTTTTTGTAATTTTGAATAAATCCGATATTCCTCTGCTCTGTAAAATGTCTGAAAATAGCCAAAAAAGTTCATCATGAGACCATAAATGCAGGTTGACATCTCCAAATTGAATGTTTGCTCTCACCAATAGTGCAAAGATATTCAACGTACAGATGACAAAGAAAACCTGGAAATCTTCACAGAATTTAGAAACTGGATCATTGCGCAGGTGACAAATCAGTTGCACAATAAAATCCATTTAAACATAGATCCCATTAGCCACCATTAGCTACTGCTACCACCAGACCAAGCATGACCCCTAAACCAATGGTGTTTTATGACTTGTAGCTTTTCATTTGTAAGGAGAAGAAGATATTTTAATGATTTAAACGCACACAAAAAAATATAAACCACCTATTTAAAGTTTTATCAGTTAATTTTCTCTAAGTGATTGCTTGATTGCTTCTGCCAACTTATGTAAGTGTGCTGGATATGACACAGCATTGTGTATTTGTTACTGTCCTTCATTTCAGTCGTGCTGCTGCAGTCCTTCTCTGCTATTGATCTGTGTCTCTGTTGTATTTTGTTTCAAAATGCATTTAATTGCTTAATTCAGAGAGAAGCCTCCTGCTGTGAGCGGGGCCATCAGGGTAATGAGCTTTTAATCAATGTGCCTGGCTGGGTCAAGAGTCAATAATCATCCTTAGAAGGTGCTGAATTCACAATTCAAACTACGATAAGTATTGACAGTCTTTTAAACAGAGAAGAATAAAGCTGGCAATAAAGCGTCTGTGTCAGATTTGTGTTATTATTACCAGGATTTAACATTTCCTTCATTCCGCTGATAGATCTGTGTTGAATCTGCAAACTTTGGATCGTGCTGTGGTTTAATTCTCCCCCTCTTGCCGCAGTCACCTTCATCAACACTGACGTATATGTGTTGTATCCGTGTTTTCTCTTCCACGGATAAGAATCTTCCAATCAATAAAAACAGGTCAAACGTCCGAGCCGCCCTCCAAAGGACGCCAATACTGTGGACAGCTGATTTTAATACCAATTCCGGCCTCTAACAGACTGTCTGATGAAGTGGTGATCTGTAGTCAGATTAGTGTCACTGGCTGCTGATAGCGTTTTTAGTGCGGCCGTCAGCTGCCGGGGAATTTCTAAGTAGATTCTGGCTTCCGCGCTTAAATAAATGTTCACATCAGCACACGGGGGCATGGTCACCTTTTCTGCTTGGCTTCCTCCTTCTGCGTCTTTCCTTTACGCTTAAAGTCACACAGTATTGCGCTCTGATTTAGTTCATTGCTTCAGTCTTTCTGACTGAATGTCACTGTCAGCAATATCTGTGATCATCTCAGTGCTGAAGGTCAGCCAGGTGATTCTCTGCGCAGGAACACGGAGATGCTTTCTGTGCTGGTGGGTCACTCGAATCACTTAAAAGCTCTGAAAGCTCGTACATGCTACTGACCCACATGAGGCTGTTAGCATGAGAGTGATGTTATTGACAGAATGCACATCAACTGCTAACATGCAGGGAAGATTGAAAAGGCCAACAGGACGAAATGTTCCTATATTACATAAATGAGAGGAAAGCTGAATTATATTTAGCTATTTATACAAAATTTTATTTGGACACTGTCAAACTAATGGTTACATTAATAATAGTAGTATTAATTATGAGCATTAGGTAGTGAATAATGAGCACACTGGTGGGGCCAGTAACCAAAGTTTTGAAGTATGCAGCTCCAGAGCCAGAGATACCTGCAGAAAGTTGCAGGACGAGGGAGGACAGAGAGGACAAACTACAGGAGAGAGAGGACACAAAGTTAATAACAGGCTGGAGTGGCATAAATGTATGGAGAGTGAAAGAGAGAGGAGTAGAGGAGAGATGCTCAGTGCATCATGGGAGGTCCCCCATCAGCAAGCCAAAAGTTACTGAAAGGTCATCTGAATAAGGGGGTCCAAAGTATTTATATCAAATATGGATGAAGCAACCATGACGTCACCTATTGGTTTGTAGATTGCTGTTCTGAAGCCTCAATTTCGGAAGTTTTCTGTTGACATCTTTGTCTTTTGATACCGAATGAAACAAGTAAGTGATGGACCTGACTGAGAACCTGATGACTGACCTGTCAGTCATAAGGTAGCACCGCCCCTAAAACATACCCTGTTTTCTTGTATATTTACTCTAAACGAAACCATAATCTACTGATAAACACCCTGCTGTATTGAAGAAGACTTCTTCCCACTGTTGCCAACCGCTTGCTCAAAGGAAGTCCAGAGGAAACTTTGGATTGTTGGTTTCTCTGTTTAAATTTGTAAGGTCTATACATTACTTTGTTAAGCGCTGTGTGATAATGTGTTATGAACTGCGCTATACAAATAAACTTGAATTGAATTGAACAATCTGAGCAAGCATGACACAGACAGTCCCTGAGATCACAAATCCCCAAACCTGTGCTACCAAAGGGAGCAGATGAGCAGAATCACCCTGAAATGAAATGGATTTTAATGAAACTAGCCTGTGTGTAGCAACAAGTGTGTCGTATTCCCTTTGAATTCATGCAGGTAATATGGCCTTTTCATCTGAATGCATGCAAGCATGCACAACCTTCACTGGACACAGGGGATTAGTGCATGCTGAATGCACACAGATGAACATCTGGTAAGGCACTATTATATTCTCTTGATACAAAGCAAATATACTATGCAAGATGTGAGACTATGAATGGCTTAAAGCATGATGCATATCCTTTAAATTTGTGCAAGCATACACAACTTTCATGATCAGACATACAACAGTGCCCCAATTACATGAAGTTATCACAGATTATGTATGATATGAACTATTCATGGCCTTTGAGCAATGTTTGATGGCATTCAGGTAAAGGAAATGTTCATACACTGCAGAGGAGGAGTGGAAGGAATCGGTTGTGTAGCTTATAGGAGAGACCCGGGCGTTAGCATAGGAGGCGAAGGCAAGGAAACCAAGGCCGATTTAGGACACGTGACTTCCAGCCTGCTTTGGTTTGAACGCTGCAATTCTACTTTAAAGACAAATCAACCCACCTGGACACGATCACTGTCCGAAGGTAAGAACAAATCTCCAATCACTGAGTTTTACAACTTGCATGAGAGATCTCTGAAGAGATGAGCAGCGAAGATTTGGTTTGATCTTAGGAGGCTGGTGGAGCAGAATGAATGAATTGACTGTCTGAATGAATGAATGAACGCTGCCTCGGTCATAAAGCAGCTCAATGGGAGGGCTGGACTTAAGTAGTGAACGATTGGACAGAGAAGTGCCCTGTGACATCCTGCCTGTCTGAGCTAAAGCTCCATTTGATAGAGCTGTCATAATGCTTCACTGCATGCTGGTATACAATGCTTTAGAGTCAGAAGCAAAAGACATTTATAAAGCGCTTAATTTAGCCCCTTTTTTACCATTATTACTAATAATAAGAATGCAAATGTTAGGAATGAGTAAACATTTGAATACCTGCTGCTGCTGCTGCTGCTAGTCTTTCAGCTCCTAAGAGGCCTGTAGAGGTGAGGACAGAGTAGCAGTACACTGTACCGCTGATAAAGAATGAAAGAGAACATTTTATTAATCCACCCTCTTGTGTGGAATAAACACACATTCTCATTGCCAAATGCTTATACATTAGTTAACCATTTTATCTTCTGTTATACAAAATTAGCTCACTTGTGATGAATCGCCCTGAACATGAACCTATCATCCATTATGATATAGATATAGAAAATTAAAAATGAATGGTAAAAACAATATGCTGTCAGTATTTTTAGAGACTTCCCTGCAATTCACAAATACATAGGCTGCACCCAATAACCATCATTTAGTTTCTGAATGTATATAATACTAAATCCATGATTTTCTATTTTCTGTACTATGAATAGCACAAACAGTGAAAGAGTCACGCAGTACAAATATCTTTGAATTTGCAAGTATTGTGCATCCAAACTGGTGGCTAAATTCAGACAGATTAGTTTCTTTTACAGAAATATGTCACGATTCATGCTGCATTGTGGAGAAATCCTGACTGATGCTGACGTTTCTATCAGTACTGAATGAAGGTGACATTTTCTACATGCCTCAGCTACTACTCTTAAGCTGCATTAAGATTTATTGCAGGTGACAATTAAAATACTCTGTGAACCTCATGCTGAGGTCTGCTGACCCTCCCTCTAAAAGATGCTGGGTCTTATTCATTTATAAAGCCCTAACTGGTT